AAAGCGTGGGACTTACCTGCCTTTCCTTTCCCATTGCACTCGCATGCATAATGTAATTGCACAATATTCATATTAATATGTCTCTGGCTCTGTGTGTGTTCCGGTGTGTCTTGATATTTTTTTCAATTCAACTAACTTTTTGGAATCTCGTTTCACATTCGCGATGACTGCTGCAACTGCTGCCAAATCGAAAGGTCTTACAAAACGGAAATCGCCGAAATGGAAACGGTGCTCTGAAGCGATTGGAATGAATCATATTGTTGGCATTGGCATTGGCTTTGCCGCTAATCCTGCATCCTAATATTAAATATTTAAGTCCTGCCCACAGCATCCTGCACAACATCAACAACGCGCATTTGCATTTCAATCAATCTGTAATTGAAGAAATGATTATTTTTTTTTTTTTTGGAAATAGGGGCTACGATGTAAAAAACAAAACAAAGGCAAATTTACACCAAAACAAAAACTAAATAAAAGGACAAACTCTCCAAAAACTCTTCATTGCATATATATATATATATATATTTATATATATATATACAAATATAGGTGTATATTTAATCAAAACGATGCCGCGAGGCAATTAAAGAAATGTTTCAAATAAATGTAAACTGAAAGCTTTTTAAAAGTTAAAAAAAAAAAAAAAACAATTTAAAACTAAAAACAATAACAAGTAAAAATAACGCCCGAAGCGCCTCACTCAAAAAAAAAAAAAGAAAAAAAACAAACATTACACAGGAGGAAAATGAGGAAAATGAAAAACAGATGCCGCGTTCAAAAGGAGTCCAGTCTAAGGACAACATTCCATTCAAAAAACATTTGTATAAAACTAAACGTGAATCCAAAAAGCCAAACATGCTTAAAAATAAGTTTTAAATGTTAACAAAACACAAAAAACCAAACCAAAAAGGTCTCAGTTGTTATTTTCATGCCCTGAACCCATTGAAAATGTTAAAAAATTATATAATCTTTTTGAAAAAATGTGTGCAACAGGACAAAAGAACGAATCTTGAAGTGGAAGAGTCAAGTCCGGATGTCCGTCCGTGCTAATGAGATCAAGCTCCGATAACATATGCAGACTAATTTTTAATCGATATCTCCTTCAATTTTTTTAGTGTATCGATAAATATCGATTTTCAGACTTTGTTCTACAGGCATAACTCAAAGATAATCAGAGCAAATTTTATGTGTGTTCTCGCAGAGCAAACGCAGACGAGTAAAAACGCACTTTTTAGATACCTTCCATATTCATTGTATCGATAAATATCGATTTTCAGACTTTATTCACTTTTTAGATACCTTTCACAATTCGGAGCAAAACTGGTAAGAATCTCATATTCGCATTTGTTTGCCATATTGAAGCCCTGAAAACTTGATAAAGATCGGACAACAAGCACCGAAGTTAACCCAGGTTCCATTTCTCATACGTAGTGTGAGGCGAAGGGAAGAAGAAGCGTGAAATCTGGGTACGGGGCATCTTCTAGTCGGGCACGCTCGATTAGAGCACACGTAATTGTTTCTCGATGGAACTGTGACATGTTAACAAAACAAGCGCAAATGTAAATGTGTTTTTTTTTTTGTTTGTTTCTTAAGTATTTAATAAATTATACACAAATGCATAACTTACTAATTAAATGTGAAACGATATATATATATATATGAGAATCGAGTTGGAAATCGAACTGCGAACACTTCCAGGCAAGGCTCAAGGCCGATTTGAGGTCGAAATTTAATTGAGAATTGAGATATGAGAATTGAGAAATGAGAATTGAGAAATGAAAATTGGGAAATGAGTATTGAGAATTGAGAATTACGCATTCCTAAACATATACACATTAAAACATATTTATATGTATGTATTTACTTAATTATTATGATTACGATATGAATGTTATTGCATATACACGTACATATACATACAATTATTAATATATATATACATATATATATATATATATATATATATATATATACATGCATCCAAAATTTATATATACATATACTATATACATTTTTTTCCTGATTTTTTGGATAAACAAGTGCTTACCAAGTAAAACAAAAAAACAAAAAAAATAATATTTAAAAAAAAAAAACATAACCTCAACTTGAAGAGAAATCTTTATTAAATTCAATTCCAATTGCCGCATCGGGCGGACGCTTTCTCATTAATTTGCCAATTAATCAATTTTTGCTGACAAAGCAACAATAAGTTAACTCTCCCCTTTAACACGGGGTCTTCGATCGTATGTAGTGCAAGCTTTTCCATTTTATTTTGCCCCAAATTAAAAACTTCGGAATACCGAAGTTGTACAACCCTGGCAAGGCGAGCACATAATACGTAATTGTTGGATAAACACCTAAAGCTTCTGCAGGGTTGGCTCGCATAATGTTGTATCCTGTACTCAGTTAACACTAAAAACAATAAGTAAATGCATGCATGTCCGTTTTACAACACTGTTCAGCAACTAGCATGCGTGGGCGTTACACAACACTGTTCAGCAGCCAGTATGGCCAATTGTTAACCTAAAAACAGTTGAAACTAACTGCAAATGCCTGCCTGAGCGTTACTCAACACTTTGACTAGAATGAGCATGCTGCTTTTTTAACACTACATCTTTAGTTCAAACTGGTTTTGAACCTTTTTATATACATATATATATGTTTTTTTTTTCACACTCGCCTGAGTACGGGATATGGCACAAAAAAAAAATAACGATTGCTTGAAAAGTATAAAAACAAATATTTAAAAACTAAGAAACATAAATAAAAAAAAAAAAACCTAAATAAATCGGCGAATTGCGTAAAACTTTAAAATCGAACATTTAAAAAAGAAACCCTAAATATAAACATTTTGCATTAAACAAAATCAAAGCTAAAAATTTATATACATAAATGTTTGTGTTGCTCTACGTTTTGTGTGTCTTCTAAGTGTTTAGAGTGTCGAAAGGGAAATATTTTAAGCATATTTTGAATACGCACACATTTATCAAATACTGAAATATACCGAGAAGCTAGTTCAGTCCTGGTTCCCAAAGCAAGCATACCAGGGCTGCAAACCCAACCGGAACCCAGTTTCAAATCCTAATTTGTCATATTTAAATCAAATTTCAAATGTTATTCTTCTTAAAAAATCTCTAAATTTGAGTTCTAGCCAAAATTGTTAGCTTCCAAATAGCTGGAACCCGGTTTGCAGCCCTGTTACACACGAATATATATATATATATATATATATATATATAGACAAATGCAAACCAGTGTTGCCAAGTGTCTAAAAAAACAGTTAAAAATAGCTATATGCGATTTCTGGCCACAAAACGGCAATAAACAGAGCCAAGAAATTGCTAATGAGTTTTAAAGTTCAGCTATTTTCTGCTGCAGACCTTTGAAAATAGCCAAAAAATTCTGCCAAATTGGCAGCACTGGGTAGCATGTACGTGCTTCCTCTTGATTTCTGTATACTAGAATTGGATTGTTGAACTATATAATTAATTAATTACAAACTGTAATCGCTTTAAGCTTGTTATGTTACAAAAATCAAAACAAAAACAACAACAAGCAAACAAACACTTAAAAAAACCAAAAACGGGAAAACGGAAAAAAAAAAAAAAAAAGGAAAAGCAAACAATGTTAACAGTAATAAAAAGTAAACAAATTGCATTGAGTTTTATTTGCAAAGAGTGATTTTTTGTAGTAAAAATATTTTATACACGATTAAGTACAGAGAGAGAGCGAGGCATAAAAACCAATGAAAAAACAACAACAACAACAACAAAAAACAACAAAAATAGCGAAAATGTTAATTATTACGTATATATTTTTTAAGACAAATTGTTCACATTTAAACAGACAGGCAATGAGAGAAAAGTTGAAACTGGAAAGTGGAAATTGAGAAAATGGAAGAAAAACAAAAAAAAAAACATGTTGATGACAAACAATTTAGTATTTAAACGAAAACTTTACGGACAAATTAAAACAAGTAAAACAAGTTAACATTACATTGTATAAGTAGTTAGTAATTTAACACTAAACCCAAAGGAAAAACTAAGCTAAGTCGTGAAAAAAACAAAAAACAAAAAAAAAAAACAAAAATGTTTTATTGTATATGTATACAACATGTTGTTTTTTTTTATTAATGTTATTAAGTTACGTGTACGTAAATGAGCGAAACACACACACACACACACACACACACACACACACACACACACACATAGATAAATACATATAGCTAATGAGCGCATTTTGTTGAATGTTTAAACAAATATACAAAAGAAAAACTAAACGAACGAATTAAATGAAGATGTAAAGCAAATGCAACACACACACACACACACAGAGAATTTTAACTATGCCAACGCATGGAACTAAATAAATTGAATATTTAAATAAATGTGTATGTCCATCGTACATCATACATCAAAGTTCGCTCTAAAAGTATGTACATATATTCCTTTTAAACTAATGCACGTGACAAACAACAAACATAATACAAACAAATAATAATTATAATAACAAGAAAATGCATTGTTGTCTTGGCAAAAGCAACCAACAACGAAATGTATTTCAAAGTTGCCAAAAAAACCAAAAAAAAAACAACAAAAAAAAAACAATTTTTTAAACCAAACAAGAACAACTAAATTCACATAAATTAAATAATATTGGCATATATGCATTGATGTGGTAGTTACATGGAGGTTTAAAGGTGGGGAAACACGTACATTACGAAAAATTAACAAAACAAAACTTGCAATAAATGTGTATACAAAAACAGAAAAAATCATGTGTGTTTTTTTTTCAATATTATTCAGCATAATAATAGACAGAGCTAGCTGCAAACTGTTTGCGCCAAATTTCAAATTCAAATTCAAATTCAAAATACTGGGAAAATTAACGGCCGCTTGCTGCTTACCAAGCAAGGTATATCAATCAGCTTTCCGTCACGCATCTATGCAACAGTGCTATCAAAACACGCCCTACACACATTTTCCAACACCAGCTCTTTGTCAAGTGAAGCGCACGCTGCCCGTCACTCGTCCATTTTGTCAACGCTCCCAGCGGCATCCAGAACGTGAGTGGAGTGAAAAAATTGTTTAACCGCCTCAATTAACATATAAAATAATAGTTATATTGTTAAACTGCTGAAAAATACACAATTTCTGCGACTATTGCAGTTATTTGCAAATAGTGTGTTATTTGGCATTTTATCACTGGCTTTTTTTTTTTCTTTAGTTTGTGGCACGTGTACTTTTGAGAATTAGGTTATGTTCGCGCGGATAAAACTTTAATTGAACTTCTTTTCTCTTTTGCTGTTGCGCCGCAATTTGTTACAGGTTTCGTAACTCTTTCACGTTAAAATGTCGGGAGGCTTAGATATTCTGTCCCTCAAAGAGGATGACATTACAAAAATGTTGGTTGCCACCACCCACCTGGGCTCGGAGAACGTCAACTTCCAGATGGAGCAGTACGTCTTCAAGCGTCGTGCCGATGGCGTCAACATCATCAACCTGGGCAAGACCTGGGAGAAGCTGGTGCTCGCTGCCCGCGCCATTGTGGCCATTGAGAACGCCTCCGATGTAAGTCGCAAAGCGAATAATACGTTTCTCTTTAAAGCAAATACTTGTTGATGTGTGGAATCGCGTAGGTGCACATGATGATTCCTATCTAATCTTTCGGGTATGAAATGCAATGATTTCAATTTCACAGCTGACACGCCGCCACGCGACACACTCAACGCACGCACATAAAAAGAAAGAAGAAGCAGGGATTTGCGTTTGATCATAGCTGGTCACACTGCAGATTCGCTGTTAAATGCGCGCACCAAATGTATTTGATTTAAATAGTCATTTGTATATATTTGTTTTGTACCATTTTAATGGCCGTCTCCTTTTGGCAGGTCTTCGTTATCTCGTCGCGTCCCATTGGCCAGCGCGCCGTGCTGAAGTTCGCCAAGTACACGGACACCACACCGATTGCTGGCCGCTTCACACCCGGTGCGTTCACCAATCAGATCCAGCCCGCTTTCCGCGAGCCACGTCTGCTGGTTGTCACCGATCCCAATACCGATCACCAGCCCATAATGGAGGCCTCGTATGTGAACATACCCGTGATTGCCTTCACCAATACGGACTCGCCGTTGCGCTACATCGATATTGCGATCCCGTGCAACAACAAGTCGCCGCATTCGATTGGTCTGATGTGGTGGCTGCTGGCACGTGAGGTGCTCCGCCTGCGCGGCACCATCTCGCGCACCACCGAATGGCCCGTGGTCGTCGATTTGTTCTTCTATCGCGATCCCGAGGAGGCTGAAAAGGAGGAGGCCGCCGCTGCCAAAGAGCTGCTGCCGCCACCCAAAATCGAGGAGGCCGTCGACCATCCCGTCGAGGAGACCACCAACTGGGCCGATGAGGTCGCTGCCGAGACCGTTGGCGGTGTTGAGGACTGGAACGAGGATACCGTCAAGACCTCCTGGGGCAGCGATGGCCAATTCTAAGATCATCAGACGCAGGCCGAAAGCTGCTTAAGCGACTGCACAGCATAAATAAATACCATCTTTTATGTTTCCCAAATCACGTGTTTTTCCTACTAAACTCTTCTGCTTGTGTGCGAGCGCGAGCGAACATGCATCCGAGCAGTCCAGCAATATGTTTATGCATCCATGCATAGTTTGAAAACGTGCTTCCGTGCATGTTGATGTCGCCTCCTAATGTCTCTTTCTCTTTAATACATTATTCATTTGTGCCAGCGATCGGGAATTAACGCTTGCTTTTATACACCTCTTAAAGGGTTTAATAATTCCGTCACGATTTGTAGGAAACACTGCCGAACCCATCATCAAATATTTATATTCTCAACATAGGCATAGTCTGCCTGTCAATCATATAATCTATCTGCCCGAGTCATGCTCGGTCGAAATTTAAGAAATTGTGTTTCCCCGAGTTATCTTGGCCAAACATGACATTTTAGAGCTCTAGCAAGCTGCCCATTTATAAGTCAAATCTTATCAATATATTCCCCATTAAAATGATCAATTAATTCCCCTTTAAAATTTGATAATCGCTGCTGAAGTTGAACCAGCAACTTCTCGATTATTGGTTCGACTTACATGTTAATAATTTTCTTCATTTAAGAGACTGTTTAGTATCTTATATTATCTCCCTAACTGTGTTTTGATATTGTACCGGCGACTTCTCAGTTACTGGTTCAACGCACACCAAATCGTGCATTCTACTCTCTTGACTTCATTTTAATAAATTTCTTCATAGAACAGTGTTAAGTATCATAATTTATCTCTCTTCTAGCAATAGGTATAAACAATTGCATTTGAGTGCCGATTAAAGCCAGATGATTCGCAAGTGGAATCTCAAGCTCAATGCCTGGGTCAAGGCAAGATAGATGACAGCTTCCTACATCCTGGCAGAAGCGCCAACTAAATTGGAATTTCACTAGACAAGGGGCTTAGCTTTCGACTTAGAGATTGGTTATTGCATTGCATCTCGGACAAATTGAAGACTGATTCAGACAAATTCCACCAATTTGAAGCTGACGGATACGTCATAAATTCAACCTCAGTAGGTCGAACACAGACAAGCAAAATTAGGAGAACTGCGGAGTACAGAGATCTCGATGGGAGGAGTGTAGTCAGGAGGCTCAAGAGAAGATCGTTTAAGGAACCTCCTCCAACTACGACAGATGAGATCTCAGTCTATCTCTGTTGTAATAAAAATGTCTGCTATTTCTGATTATATACAACAAACGTTTAAAAGAAAGGAAGCCTCGATTCGGATGGACTCTATCTGAAGCCTAGAGAATATGGAATTTACGATTAAGATGCGAAAGCAAATCTCGACAGCGCTTACAATATTAATAGATTTATTTTTTTTTTTGTTTTGCTTTATACAAATAGAAAACAATTAATAATTGCTTAGGCGTATAGATATTTATGAACCTCTCATGCTAGACGATCGGTTATACATAAAATGAACAATAATAAAAATAAAAAAAAAAAATTGGTGTTAATCCATATATTATATAAACATGATATTGTTGATTTGAATGTTTTCTCTCTATTGAACAGTACAACTGCAACCGTAACCCCGCGCTGAGTGAATGATTTGAATAAAATATCGTTAACATTTACAAAAAAAATTAAATAAAATAAAAAAATAGAGATAGTTATATTTATTGAACAATTCAACTCCATTTCGCATTAACTAATTGCACAATCGATGATTGCTCAAATTGCGTTTGTCGAGTGCGTTTTTTTTTTTGCCGAAAGTAAATCCTAACCATGATTTAATTATAGAAATTCCAAACCCGGCGAGGAAGGAGGAGGAAACTCTCAACCGGCGACTATATACCCCCCCCCCCCCCCCCCCCTCCCGTTCGCCGTACCAAAATGCAATGATTCATTACGGACCACACAGAACAGAGGAGGACAGCGATAGCGTTAGGCAAAAATCAAAAAGAAAAAAAACATTTGGAGAACAAAAAATATATATATAAATATATGTATACTATTGTGTCATTGTAGAACTATTTAGGTTAGTTATTTAAATGGGTTTGGACGAGCTTTGAATTCCATCATTCTGCGTAATTCCTTTGTTTCCTCCAGCTCGCGTTGCTTGCGTTGTTCGTCTTGCTGCAAAATCGAGTGAAATGGGAAAATTGGATCAGTTCGCGATCGTTCATTTTGGCAGGTGTTTGGTTGTTTCACATAAATAGATGACAAAGGCTGCACCCGACTAGGGAATACCCTGGGGGTCCAGCCGGCCACACTTCAATCATTCCAGATATCTTCCATGAATTCCTGACTAAATTCGGTGCATATAATCCGATCTTCTTTATGGGATATACCCTGATCCTAGCGCTGAGCTGCCCTTACAATCATTCCAGTTTCTTTCTACACATAATTATGATCCTCTTGATTAACTTCGTTATTATATATTACGATATATCCGATCTTCCTTACATTTCCAGGCCTTAAATAAACGTGAATCTCTACCTTTAAATATTTACAACTTGCATCTAGATCATGAGATTTTCTAGTTATTGAAAAAGCACTGCTCAAGATCAATATAAAGTATGTCCCAAAAAATATATCGACTCCTTTTGCGTATACGAACATAAATATTCCAAATTTCAAGTCTTGAACTCCTGTAATTTCCTGTAAATCATAAATACTATGGGATAATTCCTGCTTCTGTCTGTTTCAGATTATAAATGAATGAATGAATGAATGACTGTGAATGTTTCCAATCTTTCAGGGTAGAAGATGAATGAATGTGAAAATGGTTCCGGTCCTTAATTTACTTAAAGCTTTTGCATATGATGAATAAATTTGGATAAGAATTATTCCATTCTGTTGTCAAGTTCGAGAAGATCTTCAGGTCGCGGGGTTCACTTCTGGTTCCCCTTCGCCCTCCTTGGGAGCAGCCACCATTAATTATTCACTATTTTTTTTTTGCGCTTTCTCAACTTTCGGAGCTGCCCGCATTCGGTCAATTAAAGAGTAGATGGGTTTGATCATTAAATACCTCAACTGAAGAAGGGCCCCAAATGGCAAACAGCAAAGAAGAAGCGAACCGTACGACGGCAATTACAGTGAAAGCTCTGCAAACGGACCGCTTGAACGGTCATCGAACAATTTCACGAACAGTTTTCGCAACATCCATTTGAATAAATCATGAACAGGGTAATATGCGAGAACTTGATGCTCTATTTATTGTGTATTTATGGACATCTCTTTTAGGCGAACATCTGGTATTTCAACATGATCCTCTGGAGACCTTTTACTGTATATCGTAGCTGAATCTGTGATTTGATTTAACTTTGTACTTGGGACTTGCCCCCTTTCAACCTTTCTTCCGCACACGTGCAATGAGTCATTCGAGTAGTTTGATGAATTGTGCTGAGTCATTCGAGTAGTTTGATGGATTATTCTGAGTCATACGAGTAGTTTTGATGAATTATTCGGATTATTGCTTGATGAATTCTAATTATTCTGATTATTGCTAAAACACAAAACGAAAATCGAAATTATACTCTATTTAAATAACTATGAATACGAGTATCATAATTATTGTGTTCGTATCTACGCGGAGCACTAGAGGGAAATTTAAAGACAAGCAAGAGCTCTCTAATCGGGAGTGCCAGGCCAGCAGATACCCTGTACACAGCGCCGAGATGTGCTTCTTCTACACTTTGCCAAGCAATAAGTCTTAAGTATAACTTTGAAAAGTGTAGATACCAAGGGGCAAGGCTTTACATTTAAATATGGATTTTGTATATATCCAATATATATATTTAATCTATATATACTCCTTATTTAAACAATATATTACGCTCAAAAATCATGTCCCCTAATCGATATTTATTGAAAGGCAATTAAAAAGCTTTTCTGGTCAAGTCTCCAGCAATAACTAGACAAACGGACATGGCCAGATCGACCTAGTTCGGCCTCCTTACCAAGAATATATATTCATCATGGGGCAGAGGAACGGCTGGTTACAAACATTTGCATAAAATCATGATACGGACGGACGGACGGACAGACAGACAGACGGACATGGCTAGATCGACTCGGCTATTGGTGCTGATCAAGAATATATATACTTTATGGGGTCGGAGATGCTTCCTTCTGCCTGTTACATACATTTGGATTTTGCACAAATACAATATACCCTTATACCCATTTTTAAAGGGTTCAGGGTATTAAAAAAAGAACATGGAACCGTTAGCAACATCTGAGAGCATGTGATAGGCGAAGCGGACTTTATATCTGCGTATCTTTATTATGTATGTGCGTATGTATGTGTGCACACACACACGCATATAGTTATTATTGTAGCTGGGTAAATCCGCTGGGCATGCTTTAAGCGCCAGTCAGAGCGAATTTCGAGAAGAAAGAAGCGACTGCAGTCTGTGTATAGGCGACTAACCAATACGCTGTTTACAGTCTTATAGAAGCGGAAGCGAAAGAATTCTTCACTTATAGAAATATTACTTTAGCTGGATCTTGCGATGGGTCAGCTGCCAATTGGATATACCCGTTCGTACGTCTGTGACAAGAGTATCGCAGCAACAATCTAGAGAAGCAGAAGCAAAAGCAGCTGAAGCTGATAAGATTAACATAAAATACAGAATGAAATTCATGTAGGGAGCCGCAAAAGACGTTGTTTTTAGTGTTGCCAACTTGATAAAAAAAAAAAAAAATTCAATGCGAAAATTCGCAACAGGGTTGCTAGCAAGTCTCCAAAAGACGCCAAAAACAGCTAAATCAGTTTAAAAATTCAGCTGTTTTCGGCTAACGACCATTGAACATAGCCAAGTTGGCAGGATTGCCACCAAATCTCATAGAGTTGTCAAAACAAGATAAATCAGTTAAAAATTGGCAAATCTCATAGAGATAAAAACAAGCTAAATCAGTTAAATATGTCAACTGTTTTCGGCTGAACATAGCCAAATTGGTAGGATTGCCACCCAATCTCATAGAGATGCCTGAAGTGAAGAAGGTTACATCAGTTAAGATTGCAACTTTTGGCCAAATTGGCAGCACTGATCGTGTTATCTATAGGATTCGGGGGACAGGAAGTGCCGCGCCCAGTTCAAATATGTAACGTAAAATGGGGAAATATGTGGTTTTTAGTAGTACCAGTACCAGTAATCCAGTAATCCGCATCCCGTGTGCCAATAATTTGGACAGCGTCGTTTGTAATGCTACTCAGCAGTTATTTGGAGCGTTTGCTGCTGTTGCGGGTGTCGTCGTTGCGCTGCCGATGGAATCGTCCGGGGCGGACGACATACTGTTGTCGCCGTAGAAGCGCGGCTCGTCGTGCGCCTCGGCTGCCGGCGAGGCAGTGTCCTCGTCTGTGTCGTCATCGTTTGAGCTATCGGCGCCACTGGCGTTTAGTTTGCCGGCGCTGCGCTCAGTGGCATCCGTATCCGGATCCGGTTCACCGCTGGCTGGCGTATGCCGTAAACGCTCGTAGCAGGCATCGCAGACGCGCAGCGCCTTGCCGCTTTGCTGGGGCAACAGGAACTTCTTGGAGGAGCAGGCGGCACAGACAACGGCGCCGCAGTTGCGGCAATGATGACGCCGCTGAACGAACGTGAACTGCGTCTTTTTGCAGTGCATACAAATGCTGGCCTCCGCATCGGGCACCCAAACGGCGGCATGATTCTCCACCGGCTTCTTGCCGCTTTTGCGCAACAAATCCTCTACACACTTATTGATATGGGCCATCCATTCCTGTTTCTCGGTGCTGGTTGCCGCATAAACCACAAATGATTTCGTCGTGGTGCGTATATACCAGCCGTTCCTGTATTGTTGATTGTCCGGTATGGACTCCAGTGAGACCTCCTCCAACGGCATTATGTGCTGCTTGTTGTACTTCTTTTTGCCAATAACAATGTTGCCATAGACGAGTATATCGTTGAAGAGGAAGAACTGACGCGATTTCGGCCGTTTGCGGCACATCTTTGTCAGCACCCCCTCGCCGACCAGAACACGTCCGGGCACGGCCAGCGGCACGCCCGAGCTGCCAAAGCAGCTCTCCACGGAGGCGATCCGACGTGTATTTAACTCCGAGTTGACAAGACGATCAACCATTTTGTTTGTGGTTTGTGGTCGCGTTTGCGGTCTGCTTGCTGCTTGCTGCGGCGAAAGTGGCGCCCCTTCGGGAGCTTTGTTTACAGTTTACAATTTGCTACACAAAGCTTCAATGTGCAAGTGAGTGAGCGAGCGAGCGACCGACAGAGAGAGAAAGAGAGTGCGACTGTTGCTTCACAAACCGTGACGACAATGTTGTTGTTGTTGTTGTTGCTGTTGTTGTTGTTGTTGTTGTTGTTGTTGTTGTTGTTGCTGCTCCCACTGCTCAGAGTGTATGTATGTATATATATGTCTGCCTGTCTGACTGCAGTGTGCCTGTGTGCCCGTGTGTGTGTGAGTGTGTATATATTTTGGGCGCAGCAGCTGCTGATAATCCTTTAGCTTTTACAATAATTTCGAGTTTTGTGCTCTGTTGCATTTGTGCCGAAATTTGTTGTCTTTTAAATCAATTACGGTTAGTCACGCGTTGCGCCCTTTATGCAATATATATATATATATATATATATATGTATATGCACAATATAACTGTTTTCTACGCCGTCCGTTTACCGAAACGTCATGACTCACACCACACACAAACAACAAGTATGCATACATACATATGTGTATGATATGTATTACATGTGTGTGTGTGCGTGCGTATATATTATGTGTAGAATGGCTTTTGATATTTGTACTGCGCCAAATTTGTTCACTTTGCCAGCCTACTCTGCGTACTTAAAGTTTCGTGTAGGATTTTTACTTAACAAACTAACGATTTTATGAAAACTGAAACACGCTCAAGCCCAAACGTTAATTTTGCCCCAACCGCTGAATCGCAGCTGCTAACGCAAATATGAGTCTCTATATTGCTATGTTAGCGCAATGTAGAGACGGCCCATACAAGTTATCGTTATCGAATGCACGCAGTGATGCACCACAAACGCAACGCTGGGCTCAATGTGACCAGAATTTTGACTTAATTTTAAATAGAAACTTACATTATGATTTACCTGCTTCTTTTTCTCCTCCTGATGACACTGCACAACATGATTATATTCCCGACGTTCGCGCACGCGCTGATCGGCCCGCAATTGAAATGGCTTTGCCTCATACATGGCTCTGCGCACCATTTCACCGTTCTCTTGCTGCTGTTGACTCATTTTGGCTTCCTGCAGATTCTTTAATTAGCAAGCACTCAAACTGATATTTTACTTGCACATTTACCTGTTCCCTCCGCTTGCGTCGCTCCATGTCGGCATATGAGTGCTTAACTGTTTCCGGAGTTATAGGCACGGTGATTCTATGAATGACTATTGTGTTCGCCAAGCGTTTATGCAGGGCTTTGAAGTTTGGCATCGGTTTACTGTGAAATTCGCGTGCTTTGCGCTCCTCCTCCTCGCGTTGTCGTATCGCCATTTCCCGCTTGGCCTGATACACTTCTTTGCATTCATATGCCCTGGGCGCTTTCACAGCAGCGGCGGCATGTCCATCGCCTTGCTTTTCACCCTGTGGAGTCCAGCCGAGCCGAAGCTTGACTTTATAATCGAGCGGCTCGTTTTTTACGCTATTCTCGTCCTGTAGCTCCTGTTCGCACGGGGATTGGGACTGAACGGAGACCGGCGATGACTCCGACGGATTCAATTGGCGTGGCTGATAGCCGTCGTCATTGTCGTCCAACTCCTCTTTACAGTGAAACTCCTGCACTCGCGGCAAAATTGGCGTCAAATTTAGCTGCAGTTGAAGTTCGGATTCCAGTGACGCATTTTCCTGCTGCTCGCCTGCTATTTCCAAACTTTGCAAACAAGAGCGTGGTTCCTGAATTTTGATATCATCAAACTGTAACTCCCGTTTAACTTCCTGTTTTATCTCATATGCCGGTTCATTGTTCCAGTTCAAAGGACCCCTTATGTTCTCCTTGTTGGCAGTGGAAGCTGCTAAAATTGAAGTTTTCAAAATTAACTGTGAATCGCAGAACAGTCGCGGGAGCATACCACATATAGTTTCCGAATGCTCCATTATGTAGGCATCAGCCCTTACTACGTTCCAGTCGAAATCTGCCTTTGAATGACTAGTATTATTTAAATTATCCAGCTTGTGGCTTAAGTCTATAGCATCGCCAAGATTGTTTGGCGCCGGCGCTGAAAATGCAGCTGCTAAAATGGCGCAATTTTCTTTTGTGTTACAAGTTAACTGTAAATCGAGACGAGTAGGGTCAGGTTATGCGTACCAAAGAAATTTTCCGAATGATCTAGATTAAAATCGCCAACGTTTATTTCGTCCCAGTCGAAATCCGATTTTTTGTTATCCGAATTATTTAAATAAGCCATATTGTTGCTAAACTCTGTAGCGTCGCCAAAATTTCAAACAACATGAAAACGAAGACACACTTGCACAATACAGGGTTGCTCAATTAATATCGATAGCTGCACGACGATTGTTATATCGATTACAGAATTCAAGTATCAAAATAATTAATCGAACTCTTATTAAAATTCATTGAAAATGTAACTAATTTTATTTTTTTTATTTATTATTTTTTTTTTTGGTATTGTCTTTACTTGGCAGATTCTTTTTTTTGCGTTTTACCTATTGGATTTTTTTTTTATGTTTAGGGCGATTCGAACTTTTTGAATATTTTCTTTTATTTTAACACTTAATACAAAAATATATTGGTTTATAATATAATATATATATATATACAATTGGTGTATATGTTTTGAATAATCTTATGTACTCGTATTAGTCCAAAGACAACATTATTTGTAAATTCTCTACAACTGGGCTCAGTCTTCGCAATTAACAATCCGCCCAATATGGGCTTTGCTTGAAATCTATAAGTTAGTTTGGTACAATATTGAGCTAAAACGAATCCGGTTGATTCATTTGGCCAAAAGGCTGATATCTCTAGAAGCGCATGCCGCCGCCAAGTACCGTCAGTCGCTTGGACTTGACATTCGGATCGGTTTTATGCTGACGCTTGCGCGGCGTCAAAGCGGGCGGCGGCTTGGCTGGGCTATCTTCGGGCAACATTCGCACCAGGGACTCCTCGGAATCCTCGCAGTCGGCGCTGGTGAAGAGCGTACGCCGTACGCTGCGTGTTGCCGGCAGCTCGCCCTCATCGTCCGTGTGGACATTGCGTGAGCTGCGCATACGCGACTGACGCTGTACACCCGATGAGGTCCGGATGCGTGCAGGATGTGCCAAAGATCTGGGCTTAAGCTTCTCGTAGATGACCAGACAGATTTCTACTGCACATTCGTTTGTATAGCCGAGTGGGCTGCAGCGATAGCCCAGCGTCAGCGTCACCTGGCACGATTCGCCCAGATCAATGCCACCATCATCGTGCTCATGAGCTGCCTCCAGCACGCCAGACGATTCGATATACTGCAACGGTTGCGGGCTTTCAGCGTGTGCACTGGAGCGTGGAGGTGTCACCAGCTGATTGGGGCAGTGCACAGCAACCGGTTCGCCGTCGTCGTCGTCATCACTCTCTGGACGCATGTGCAGAGATGACGGCATGGGCTTAGACGCCTTTCGGCGGTTGCGAAGCACATGAAAACTGCGCGCGTAGCGTTCCATGAGCAGCGATTTCTGTGCTTCGCTGCAGTGGCTGGCAGCCCGAAAGCCCACATGCTTGTAGCGTCCCGTCAGCTGGGTGCGCACGTAACCAGTTACGGCACCGACGCCTTTAATGCTGCGTCCCAGTACGCTGAGAATGCAGTCGTCGGTCAGCTCCCTGCGCACATCGTCGTCGTCCATGCACTGCACAAAACGGCGCATCACTTGGCTGGGCGACGCTACATCAGCTATAATTGGCGCGCGTTCAGAGAAACATTCTCGACGATATGAGCATGGACTTACCTGGCGCATCGGTTATTTGTTCTTCGTGCATTTCGATTGTTTATATGGCTTACATATATAAAAGTACACAATAAATAAATGTTTGGTTGATGCGGTTTGACGTACAATGTTGCATGTGCTCGATGTGAGGCGATATATCGATAAATATTTGACTCGCATCGATGTTTCTGTTCAAACACAAAAATATATATATATATAGAATCAGAAGTGTGCCCAGACGCAAGCAAAATAAACTGCTATGTATGTTACAAAATTTAATTTGAGTTATCAGACTATATTCAATTTTTATGAAACAAGAAAAATTCTATACGAATCACGAACAACATTAACAACAATTTTGAATAAGTTTCGATATGGGCGCTAATAACAGCAAGCCGCAAACTGTGCAAATGTCGAATACATCGCCATTTCAGATCAGCCGGGACGTCTTGGAGCGCGTGGAGAAGGCCACCAAAGCGGAGAAGGGCAATGTCTCCACTGTCTGTGAACATTGCAGTCGTACAACAACGACAGCAACAACAGCAACAACAGCGACAACAGCTGGAGTCCATACAGTGAGCGGGGCGGGCGATGCCGCCAGCAGTGAGAAACAGCCCCAAGTGCAACCCTATCAGCAACAACAACAACAACAACAGATGGCGATCGCTCAATCCTGGGCACGGCGCTCTACGGAAATTGAAGAGACGCAATTCACCAAGACATTGGACCGTGTGCACAATTTGTTCGGGCAGCCCATCAAATGGGCCAAGGCCAATGAGTGTTCGGCGGACATCGAGAACATGGAAAAACAATTGATATCCTGCTATCGTCAGTACGGCACCGAGCCGCTTAAGTGTGCCCAGCTGGCCAAACAGTATCACACTTTCGTATTCAATAAGCAAGTGGCCGCCGTCAAGAATGCCAAGTCTGATGGCCAGGGCGATGGGAAGGACGCCGATGAAAACTGATCACCCTTTGGTAGACCTCAAGTTGACAGTAAAAATGACTATTCTTGGAATATGCATTGCTTACATTTCATAAACGTTTTAATTATAACGGTCGCAAACTAGCGACCAAACACAAATCAGCACAGTGCGCTTTTAAATTTACAAATATACGGTCACACCGAAATTGCCATATTCGAATTGGAATAGTCACTGCTACTTGCATACCCTGTTAAAAAAGTCTGATATGCAAGTAGCTATGAGCATGCCAATAGAATATATAAAAAATAACACCGAATATACACACTTTGCAGCTGGTTGCGTTCTAGGGTATCAGAAAGCTCGCACAGCTTTTTCATCAGCACGCAGACGCCGCCAGACAGCTGACACAAACAATTTAGTTTCGTTTAGTTTAGTTTAATACAATCAGCGGCAAGAACGTCGACTGTGACTGTGACGCTCTTTGGCGTCCTTCATTTATGCACATAGTACAAAAACTAGCATAACAATAAGTTTTAGTTGCGTTTTTAGCTAACACTCGAATACACACATACATAGATGCGTATGTGCATTCATATATGTATGTATGTATGTATGTGTTTTGTGCTTACATATGTAAGTATGCGAATTAGAAGACGGCGACGCAACAGACATGGTTAACATATTTACCTACAAATGGAACAAAACAACTCTCCTCTAGTTGTTGTTGTTGTTGTTAGTGGGATGACAAGCTTGTTTTCCAAGAATTTATTGCAGGCTGTAAAACTCACTAGGCACATACATAGAAACATTGCCATATGGGCTTACACAGATCTATGCTGGCACACAATTACATAAACATGCGCGTGTTTGTGTGCGTGTGCGTGCTCAACGTTTCCCCATGCAAAAGGCAATTGTTATGACACGGTCACATTTGGGCTACCCCCCCCACCCCCCCCCCCCCCCCCCCCCACACACACACACACACACACGAACTAGGAAATTTGCTATCCACAAATCAAGCAGCACGTGCACAAGTGTGTGCATACTATTTACTAATTATATACATGTATTCATTTATCAGTGTTGCCATGTGATTCTTGAAAGAATTCGCATTCAATGTTAAAATAGGTATAAATAGCTTGCTAGCACTTTGATATGTAAAAAAAACTAGCTAAATCAGCTTTAAATTGCAAGTATTTACGGCTGACAAGCACAAAAAATGGGCAAGTCTAGCTAGAAAATTGCTAAGTGGGCAACACTTGCGCTTGCACTTTTTGATGCAACACACACACACACACACGCGCGCGCATATATGAGTATTCCTATTAGAAAATTGGCGCGCATTTTTGGGGGCCAACTTTTTGGCAAGTTTACGACCAAAATTTATAATATTTACAGCTTTCATAAGCCAGCACCCTTGACAACGCACCCCCCCCCCCCCCTCCTCTTCTCTCCTTCAACTGCAGCAATTTAGCGACACGGAAACGGAAAAGCTTTGCACGATCGCAAATTTTCAATGCAATGAGATGAGATGAGATTTCTTTTTTTTTTTTTTTTTGGCAATTTAAATGCTCGAAACACTTTTAGTATTTGTGCAACCATTGTGACATTTAGATACATTTAACCCAGCCTATTCAGTTGATTCAAAACCCAAGAAAAGGCCAGCAAAAGTGAGAAAGTGCAACAAAAGGAAGAAGATAAAAGCAAGTACCATTTTTAAGCAGATCTCGCTGAACTTGAGCCCATGCAGCAAGTAAAATTTATAAGTTACATTTATAAGAATGACATTGACCCAGACCAGTGTTGGCAAGTGCTGCTTTAAAAAGTAGCTGAATCCAATGTTGAAAATAACTTTAAAAATAGCTGAATTAGCTTGCTGAGCACAATTTGGCGATAAAGTTGGCCAAAAAAACGGCCAAATCAGTTCTAAACTTCAGTTGGCAAGGCCTCTGAAAAAAAAAAAACAAATTTAGCTAGAAAATAGCTGAATTGCCTGGACTCTTGGGTTCGAGGGGCATTTGTATGTAGACTCCAGACATTGGGGGTGCCAGGAGGAGGCAGCTTCTAGGGGAATTTACGGATATATGTTGTTGTCGTCGTCGTCTTAGTTGCTCTTGCCCTGCCAAATGACTTATTATTATTCGCCTTAGTGGCCGTTTCGTATTTAGTTATTGTTTAAGTTAAGGACTGCGCCTTAAATGGTGTCCAAAGTGTTTAAGCTGGCCCAAACGCGGCTCAGCAGCTGGCAGCGCGGGCTCGTTGCCTACTTCCAGCTGCATCCCATGGCCAAGGGCGTGGTAACATATTCATTAATGTGGCCCACGGGCAGCCTAATACAGCAGACGCTCGAGGGACGGAATTTGAGTAAGTTTCGGCATTGACAATCGAACATCAAAAATGGAAACACAAATCTTGCCCCCATTTCCAACAGAGACCTATGACTGGGCGCGTGCCCTGCGCTTCAGCCTGTTCGGGGGGCTCTATGTGGCGCCCACGCTCTACGGCTGGGTGCGCCTGACCAGCGCCATGTGGCCGCAAACAAATCTGCGCATTGGTATTGTCAAGGTGAGTAGAGAGAGGAAGGGCAGAGGCTAGGTCATCAATTGATATATGCTTTCCAGGCGATAACCGAGCAAATCAGCTACGGCCCGTTCGCCTGTGTCAGCTTCTTTATGGGCATGAGCCTGCTGGAGCTGAAGACATTTCCTCAGGCCGTCGACGAGGCCAAGCAGAAGGTGTTGCCCACATACAAGGTTTGTCCCCACAACCCGCCAGATTTGGCTATTCTAAATGGGAATTTTATTGCACCGGTTCACAGGTTGGCCTCTGCGTCTGGCCCGTGCTGCAGACGATTAACTTTTCCGTGGTGCCCGAGCACAATCGCGTCGTATTTGTAAGCATCTGCAGCCTGATGTGGACAATATTTCTGGCGTATATGAAGACGCGCGAACTGCAGCAGCAGCAGGTGGAAAATGACATACCTGACGCATAGAGCTGTTATCTGCTATAAGGGAGAGGTTGTCGGTTAAAATCCATCCCAATTTTATATTCAATTGATTTGCAGCATTATTCATTTGACGCCGGGCAACGCCGACCAATTTCTGCTAGTTGTAAATAATTGTGTATGTGTTAATTTAGCAACAAATTGTAGGCAAATAAAAGGCATTTAAGTACACAACCTTTATGTCTGCAAAGGGGGCGGCGGCACTCGCGCCACAATCAGCTGTCCGATCCACAGTTGGGAGGCAAGCGGATCGGCGGCTGGGCCTGCGCCCACCGTCTGCAAAATCCAGTCCACATAGGCGGACACTTCGGTAAAGACGCCCGGATAGGGCGGTCGTGCGCAGGGCTTTATGCTCCACGAGACTATGCCGATTTGGGTGTCCATGCCGGCGAGCAGCAGCGGGCCACCCGAGTCCCCGCTGCACTGGCCACGACCGCCATCGGGTACACCGGCGCATAACTGACTGCTGTGCAGCTGCGTCTGATGGCGGCGACTGCACTCCTCATCGCTGAACACCTGCAGCTGCACCTTCTGCAATTGCTGCTGCACCACGCCGCCAGTCTGTGGAAAGTTTGAGTAAATCAAATGGATTTGGTGCATACAAAAAAAGAGCACTGCATCGGGTAATGCACGTGTTTTCAACTCGGATACTCAAACGAAGTTCGCTTAAATCGCTCGAGCTTACAATTTGAGTCTTGAAAATAATTGTTGGAGTATCCGGAATACACGTGATGCTCCACCCGATGCGGGGCTCTAAATACGAACCGCATTCAGGCCCCAGCCTGCGAGCACAGCGCTGCTGTTGGCCCGTGTCTGCTGTTGGGGATCCGGCAAACGTACGGGCTGCACGCTGCCGTTGAAAACGACAGACTGCCTCAGCCGGAGCAGTGCGATGTCGTGGATGTATTTGTCCTGCGGCTCATAGCCGGGATGCACATGTATTGCCGCCACCGAGGCCAGCTGGCTGGCATTGCGTTCGATCGTGTTGCTGCCATATTGCACATTCAGCTGCTCCGGCGTCGCGCTGCGCACACAATGCGCCGCGGTCAGCACCCAGCCAGCGTTCAACAATGTGGCTCCGCACGAATGGTGGCCCGTTTTGGCGCGGCGCAGCGACACCTGCAAAGGCAGAGATTCATTCAATTATTTGCTGTACTACAAACTGATTCGGTTCGATCGATTCTTGATATAAAAAGATAGCAAACGTTCGCATAAAGCCTACAAATAAATTTAAGCCGAGCCGGTTCGAGTCCTAAATCAATTTGATTACTAAGAGTGGAACATTAAACCACATCAGTTGTCCAAGAGGGCGCTGATCCTAGCCATATAATTTATGCCAAAATGGGTTGATTACAAAATCAAAACTTTTCTTTATCATAAACTTAAATGCGCCTTCCATTATAGGAGCTGGCTGAATAATGCCAGGCAACGTTCGGGGTTTCACCAAGTGGTGCTCCCAAGGATTTAACGATCTGTACACAAATTGATCCTTACAAAAAGATATTTTTTTATAGCTCCTGTACGTCTTATTCTTGTTTCTGCTCGATCCGCCATTCAATTCAAGACAGATTGGCTAGACTAGATTTTCCTGGGCTTCGGCTTTGCTCCTGCTCTAGCAGTATCCTGATGATCAAGCTTCCCTCGTGAAATTATGCCTGGTTTGACTAGCTAAATAGACTTGTCTCTCGCAGCTTAATCTCTGAAATGTTGTGTAACTAACGTTCGGGATTCTGTTTGGAGTCCTCCCTTCCCCGGGTTTGATTTTTGTTAAGCTAGAATCTTCTCTGAATATGTAGACTCAGTCTACAGTCTTAGTTCATATCGTACCAGCTGGCCTTTGCTTACCGCGTAGGGAAACTCGCCCTTTGCCGCCGCCGTGCCGTTCACTATTTTGCCATCCTGTTGATCCTGATCCTCTGCGTGATCTGCTGACGTGCTGCTGGCCAGCAGGCACATGACAATTAGTCCGGACAAATGCATGTCGTTTGGCTTGTGACAACGCGGCAGCAGTTGCATTTATTTGGGCTGCACACAGCGGGTGTTCTGATAGGGCGCGACCCGTATTGTCAAAAGTTGGCCATGTGTTGTTCTAGAGCTGGGGACGGAATTAATTTACATGAATTACATATGTTTAGATACCCATCGAAATGGGCAAAAGAGGGTTAAATGGTTTACGTTTACGTACGTACCCATAACAAAATATAAATAGTTTCTTCATCACGAGGACGAGCTGGGTCGATGTCATGTCCGTCCGTCCATCTGTCCGTCGATCTCATCCACAACAAGAGCTAGACGACAGCTTGGCGCTGGGTTCAGGTTATCTACTAATCGGGCACGCCCGGCCTTTTGCTTGTTTTATGTGCAATTTTTAACCAGACAATATGTGTGCGCAGCGAAATGGCCTCCTCACTGCTGTGGCAACAACTGAAGACGTTTGTCACCAGGTATCCCATCGCGCGTGGCATGATCTCGTATAGCCTCATATGGCCCACGGGCAGCCTGATACAGCAAACATTTGAGAACAAGAGTTGGGGTGAGAAAAGCCTGTCTTGTTACTGACTACCTGTGTGCTAACAGCTAGATTGCAGGCAACTATGACTGGTGGCGCGTCCTGCGCTTCAGCATGTACGGCGGACTCTTTGTGGCCCCCACGCTTTACGGTTGGGTTAAGGTATGTTCCGTTTAGAGACTCGTGCTGGCCAATGTTATCCATTTGCACACCTTGGACAGGTTTCCAGCGCCATGTGGCCACATACATCACTGCGCCATGGTGTTGTTAAGGCCGCCGTGGAGACCATTTCGTACACGCCTGCAGCGATGACCTGCTTCTATTTCATTATGAGCCTGCTCGAGTCCAAGACAATACGGGAAGCCGTCGCCGAGGTTGGCAAGAAGTTCATTCCCACCTACAAGGTACGCACACTTAAATCAATAGAACCGTAAAGTCATATATATGTATTACTTGATAGGTTGCGCTGGCCGTTTGGCCCCTGGTGGCCACCATTAATTTCTCCCTGATTCCGGAACGCAATCGTGTGCCTTTTATCAGTGTGTGCAGCCTGTGCTGGACATGCTTTCTGGCATATATGAAGCACTTGGAGCATCATGAGGTGGATCAAGTTCTTTAATTATATTGTTGTCGTATGTATTGTTAATATTAGTTTTAATAAAACAAGTAGAAACCAAGAATGCGCTAAACTAAATTTAAGTGTGACCAGATTTTTTCTTTAAACAATTAGCAGCCACACTCGACTAGAGACTTAAATATCGTTAGGCAAAACAACTATCATTAGTTGGTAAATACATATCGATATAAAAACCAGTGCAACGTAAATATCGCATTAACATTTGTCGATATTTTTGCCATCCCCAGCCCCACCTTGCTGTTGGGTGTGTGCATTCTTCTAATTTGTGTCTTAGTTGTTTATGCATAATAAAGTGTTTATTTGCTGTTTTTTTTTTTAAACTAAAAATTAAGTGCCTTCGTTCATAATGCGTAATTTGGGCAAACAGCAGTCGCAGGACACTACCGACACGGGTGTGGAAAAGGGCGACTACCCGCGTGCGACAAGTGAGTGACGCAGCCAATGTTGTTTACCGTAAATAAATATCGCATTTATGTTTGTGTGTGTGTGTGTGTGTGTGTGTGCTTGCAGATGGAGTTGTATTTGGTGCAATTGTGACTTTTGCCAGCTTCTTTGTGCTGATGATGTCCTTTTGCTCGCCATACTGGATCGAGTCGTACGAGGAGACACGCAGCAGCTTCAAGAATATGGGCCTGTGGCAATACTGCTTCAAGAATTTCGTCTACCCGAATTATCAGTTCCCCAAGCAATTCACGGGCTGTCACTTGATCTTTTCCCATGTGAGTACATTCATATTGAAGGCCTGCATCGATTAATTTATATGTATAATAACTAACTGTTGCTCTAGGATTATTATGTTATACGTGAATATCTGCTGCCCGGCTGGCTGATGGCCGTCCAGGGCTTCGTGACGATGTCCTTCATCATTGTCTTTGCCGTGCTCACCCTGCTGGCGCTCACCATCATCCGGCTGCCTCTGAAGCCTGTGCTGCAGTACGAGTGGCTGCTGGTCCGCCTCTCTTACATCGGCACCGCCGTCTCATGTACGTACTGGAGCATTAAATATAGATACTTTTATAGACAAGACCCATTTTGCAGCTCTGTTCATGTTCTTGGCCGTGTGCATATTTGGTGGCTGCGCCTATCGTCGCGACTGGCTCATGTATCCGAAATTCAATGTGCTTGGCTGGTCGTATGCCCTCGCCGTGGTCACCTTTATGCTGCTTGGCCTGGCTGCCCTCATACTGCAGCGCGAAGCACGCCAGGCATACGAGGCGCGTGGCGAACAAAAGAACCTGGTCATGCAGATGGAAATGCAGGAGCCGGGCTACCAGCCGCCGCGTCATCATCATAGTCAATCGCGCAGCCTGCAGGGCTACATATAGTGCGGATATATATATCTATATATATATATATGCACTGGAAGCGTCCAACAAATCAATTTCTTCTTGATTCCATTTTTTATCAGACAATATCTCTTTATGCCGTCCTCCTTTTTTTTATATATATATATTTACTCTAGTAATATTTCTATGCGAAACGAAATCTCTTTTTAAATAAGTGCCTTGGAATTTGTAGTGCAAATTTTTTCATACTTTTACATATCCATATCTGTATTTGTATCTGAATCGGTTTAAATGCATCAGAACAGCCGTCCAAAAAGACACAAACCGAATGTTAACGCAAACATTTGGCAACTCGAATATATATATATATGTCTATACAGTTGAGCCTGGATTATTCCGGTTAAAAGAGGACACATGTAAACGTTCAAAAATGTTATTTCATTTTCATAAACATACATATCTTATTCCATGTAATACATTTGTTTAAGTTAGTTGAGCTCCATTTGGGGTTATAAAATTCTCCGGATTATCCAGGCTTCAACTGTGTATAATACATCAATCTATAAACATATACATATATTTATACACATAACGATAAATGTTCTACACAAAACATATTATAAGACAATTTTTACAAATACAGCCCAAAAACGATTCCATTTGATCGCTTTATGATACCCATTTATTTTCTCGATGTCTACAAATGTGTCATATGTTTATTTTTTTTTTTTTGTTTTTGAGTCTTATCTGGCCACGGACGGGGCTGATAGTAGTCGCCGCTGATTGCCAATTGGAACACCTCGATGCCGTGTCGATTCTCATATGGAATTTTAGTTAGAAATGCGCGCTGACTAAATTCGGTCGTGAAAATTCGACGATAAAACCAACAACAACAACAACAAAAATATTTTTAACTGATTTTTATTGTTGTGTTTTTTTTTTTTTTGTTTGTTTTTTGATCGATTATAATGCACGGCGTGTATTATCTGTGCATATGGCTATTTATGTGTAAGATAAACAATTCCAAGAACTTCAGCTAAATGCAACACACACATACACACAGACACACACACACACGTGCGCATGTGTGTGTGCGCGTTAGCATAAGGTGTAATAATTAGAAGGATGGGTCCATCAGCTGAACATACCCCAAGTATCTCTCTCTCTCTCGCTCGCTCGCTCTCCCTCTCTCTCACGCTCTCACTCTCTTGTCGTGTTGCCCTTCCTTGTAGAGTATATTGAATTTGGTCATGAAATGTGTGACCCCATAGAAGGATAAATAAGAAGAAGGATGAAAATATAAGAATAAAAAAAAATAAATAAATACAAAGGGAGAGAGTAAAGGAAAAGGAAGTATCAAGAGAGCCTATTTGTAATAGGAAGGAATAAAATTAAAAACAGAGAAAAAAGAGAAAGAGAGCGAGAGTAAGTTAGAGCGAAGTATCAATAGGTTTTGCGACTCGAGTCTAAGCATAGATCTGTCTTTTAAGTTAAGATAGTTTTATTCATTAGATCGTATAATTATATAGCTGACATGGTAAATATCGGTAAAATGTTTAGTGCTGTAAAATGTAAAATGTTTTAGTGTTTAGAAGGAGAGTAAGGGAGAGGGAAGTATGCAGGAGAATAAGGGAGAGGGAAGTAAGAAGGAGAGTAAGGGAGAGGGAAGTATGAAGGAGAGGGAGTAAAGGAGAGGGACCTATCGCATTTATGAGAACGCAGCACTATATAGCTATTGACAGATATTTGTTGAAAGCTTTTAAAGATATTCCAGCCAAACCCAACCCTTGCGAGCTTTATTATCTATTACACATCGAGTATAGATGCGTATCATACTGGAAACAAGGGTATTCAAGCTTCGGCATTCCGTAGATAAGTTTCATCTTCTTGTTAATCATTGCGGCTGTGTTTTGTTGTGGCTGCAACAGGGCGGAAATTGACGTAAAATACAAGCATAAAAGATACGGCGGCAAGGCCAAAGCGCGAAGAGTAAAGAGCATAGTTAAATAGTCGGAAGGGGGGGGGGGAGGGGTGGTAGGCAGTTGGTTACAAGAAACAACTCCCGCTGAACTTTAACAAAATTCCCATAATCTAAGGTGAGAAGCATAGATGTGACAGCTCGAGGTGTTGGTTACAGGGAGGAAGGCAAACTCCGGCAAAATAATCATAGTCCAGAGTAACTTAGGAAGGTCCTTTCATTAGGAGCTTACTTCGAGGGTGAAGGAAGAGGGGTTGGGCATGCACAGGGGTATGGGACAGCTTGTTACGAGAATCGACTTCCTGCAACCTTTAGCAAAATTTCCATAATCCGTAGTACCTTAGGCTAGTTCTTCCATTAGGGTCTTCCATTGATGGGAAAGGGGGTTGGTGACAAAGTGAAGAAAATGGTTGAATCAAGTGGAGCGTGTGAGGAAGAAACAACTCTCCGTGAACGCCAACAAAATATAATGGATTACCCCGAAGGAGTCCTTCCGTCAAGTTACGACAATATGTAAAAAATTTGGATTAGCTTGAAAAAGTCCTTCCGTTAGGGGCTTCCATTGATGGGAAAAGGGGTTGGAAGCGACTCCCCGGGAGCTCCAAGAAAATATCCATAATCCGTAGTACCTTAGGCTTTTCCTTCCGTTAGGATCTTCCATTGATGGGAAAAGGAGCTGGGGACAAAGTGAAAAAAATGGTTGGAGCTAGTGGAGGTGTGAGGAAGAATCGACTCCCAGTGTCCTGCAACTATGTCCATAATTTGGATAAGCTTGAATATGTCCTTCTGTTGGGGTCTTCTATTGATGGGTAAGGAGTTGGGGACGAAGTGAAGAAAATGTTTGGGGTAAGTGGAGAGTGTAAGAAGGAAAAGCCTCTACGTGAACTCCAACTAGTCCATAATTTGGATTACCTTGAGAGAGTACTACCGTTGGGGTCTTCTCTTGATGGGAAAAGGGTTTGAGAAGAATATAGAAGGGAAAGGTGGGGAATTTGCCTGGACAGCTACAAAATGGATTACTCTTTAACAGTGGCAGCGATACCAGGAGCACGGAGCCAGCTGCCCGAGTCGCGGATCATCAATGGCACGGTTGCCAGCGTGGCCGAGACAAAGCACCTGGTCTCCATACGTCTGCGCTCGAACGACAAGAACTTCGGTAGCGGCCACATCTGCGGCGGCTCGCTAATTGGCCCCAACAAGGTGCTGACCGCCGCCCATTGCCTGTACAAGTGAGTCACGCTCGGATGGAGCAGCCGCTAGAAAAGCAACCTTCATGCCGTTCTTCGTGTTGCAGCACCTCGAAGAAGCGCTACCGCAAGGCCAAGGAGTTCGTCGTCGTTATGGGCACGCTCAATCGCTACGAGCGCAACAACAACACGATTGTCTCCTATGTCAGCTCGATTGCCTACATGAACACCTTCAGCACGGACAGCATGCGCGACGATGTCGGCGTCATGTTTCTGACCAACGGTCTGGCCGTCAACGGCAGCCATCCCACCATCGCTCCCATCCAGCTGGCCAGCGAAGTGACGCCCGCGGGCGTCACATGCCAGGTGTCCGGCTGGGGACGCACCGAGCAGGTGAGTCCCATTCGGCCAACGGCTGCTCTGCATATCAACTCACCAGTCTCTCGGCAGAGCTCGCTGTCGAACGTGCTGCTGACGGCCAATGTGAGCACCATACGCCACCTGACCTGTGCCAGCATTTATGGCGGCGGCCTGCTGCCCGGCATGCTGTGTGCCGGACGTCTGCGTGGCGGCACCGACTCCTGCCAGGGCGATTCCGGCGGACCGCTGGTGTACGAGGGCCGGCTCATTGGCATCGTCTCGTGGGGCTATGGCTGTGCGGAGCCGGGTCTGCCCGGCGTCTATGCAGACGTCCAGTACTACCAGCAATGGATCGAGGAGCGCAACGGCAGCTTCAGGCTGTCGGCAGCCCCACAGATCTGGCTGTGGCTTGGCAGCGCCTTCTACTGGCTGTGGTCGAGAGGCTAGGCACTGGAAGTAAATAAATTAATGTAGCTAGTAAGCCGTTGGCTCCATATTTTTTTTGGGTGAGTTAGCTTAATGTGGGGCTTGATTGGGGAGAACTGATGGATCCCAAGGAAACATCATTCCAATCTTCCATCACATCTTTCATGAAAACGGTATATTGTTTTAAATAGAGCTGGACAATTCCAAAAGAGATTTTAAAATGACCCCCTCCACCCTCCCCATCTTCCTTATGCTGGCAACCTTCCGGAAGTCTTGATAAGCACCTAGGCCTGTTCTTTTGGAATAGGTTGACGCTTGCGGGCGAGTCCATGAGGCCAAGATTGGTGTATTGTGATGCCGCCGTCGATTAATCAAGCTTCTATTTTCCCAAGGACTAAAATAATAATATGGAGCACTTAACTTCAGCCCGAGACCCGAAGGAGACGCCCGACAGATCCCAAGGAAACATCCTTCCTTTCTTCCATCCCATCGTGTTCCATCCAATTGTTTTGCATAGAGCTGGACAAATCCAAAAGAGATTGTAAAATGACCCCCTCCCTCCTCTCCATATTCCTTATGCCGACAACTTTTGCGGAAGTCATAATAGGGACCTAGGACTCTTCGTTCCGAATAGGTTGACGCTTGCGGGCGAGTCCAAGGCCATCAATTGATCAAATTCCTATGTCCCATCTTCCAAGAAAACTGACTCTTTTGCATAGACCTGCACAGGTGCAAAATAGATGTCAAAGTGGTTCCCACTCCTCCTCCGAATGACAACCTTTGCGGAAGTTGTAATAGGAACCTAGGATCCTGCGTTTGGAATAGGTTGACGCTTTCGTTGGAATTAACAATCAACAAGCAACATTTATTTACAGACACACATAGATAAACGCAATAAAACTGGATATAATTGAATTTGATATGGATTTGGGTAGGCTACGGCCTCCGGCTCCCAGCTTCCGACTTCCGGTTCCCTGGACGACCTAGCAGTTGCAGTTGCGTCGCGGCGGATTGTCGCTGGCCTGATGCAAGCGAACAAGCTCCGGGCCGTAGGCAAGGTTGGGCAGCCGGCGGGACTGAGCCATCAGCAGGGAGAAATCGCGATTGCCGACGGCGTTCTCGATCCGTTCCATGACACGGCCCACGAGCAGCTCGACAGCCTGCTGTATGTTGGCGCCGGTGCAGGCGCTCGTCTCGATGTAGGGCAGACGATAGCGTTGCGCCAACGCGGCCACCTGTTCCCGGCTGACGACGCGCAGCTGCAGCAGATCGCACTTGTTGCCGCAGAGCACCACGTCCGGATCCTCCGTGTAGGCGTGCATGCGCAGCTGCTCCAGCCAATTGGTTACCTCCAGGAACGACTTCTGGCTGGTCAGATCAAAGATCAGCAGAAAACCCATCGCATCCCGATAAAACGCCGTCGTCAGCGAACGAAAGCGTTCCTGCCCGGCCGTATCCCAGATCTGCAAATGGATGCGATGCCGCCTACCACGCGAGTTGTACACCTAAACCGGAGGAGCACACAAATTGGATATCTCGTTGAAGGGGGCGACTATGAGTTGGGGTGGGGTAGGGTCCTCTCACCAGACGCTTCTCACGAAAGTCAATGCCGACCGTGGATATGAACTGAGTGTGAAATCTGCCGTCCGTATATTGATAGAGCAGGCAGGTCTTGCCCACGCCGGAGTCGCCGAGCACCAGGAACTTGAGCAAATAGTCGTAGTCAATGTTGGCGGTCGTCATACTGTTCACACTCCAGCTGATGTCCTTTAGGGCAGCATCCTGTCAATGAAAAGAGCTGATTGAAGACGGCGGAAGCACATGTCAGGAGCTTGCAACTTGAGTTGGGTTCACGGCCAAACGGAACAGGATAAAGGCAAGTCCTTGCTAGAGCTGGATCCTAATATGTGTGCGGGTGTGTGTGTGTGTGAGTTTTTTGTCTGTTGAGGAAAGTAGATCCTTGCAGCATGTCCTTTCTGGTAATCGGAATTTCAGTATGCAAATAACTACACGAAAAATTAAATACTTCCTATTTAAACTGCATAGAAAGGGCAAGGTCCTGAAAGCGTCGCTGCCAGAGTCAGGTTTTTTTCATGAGTTGCTGAAAAGTTCGCTGCTTAAATCAGATATTCTCATGTATAGCCTGGCAACAGCCGGAGTTCGACTAAGAAAATTCCCTTTTTCGGCTTTTAACCCCCTTTTTTGGCAATCAAATTCTATTGGGAATACTACCAGAGAGAGAGAGGGAATGGGAGGGAGAGGGAGAGCTGCTGCCAAATATTGCAAACTCATTAAATCTAGATTTATTGATTTTCTGTCGAGCCGCCCGACTGCCAGGCTTAACGGCCGCAAATAAAGCCTATTGAAATGTTGATGGAATATGCTTAAATATGTGTGTTTGTGTGTGTGCATGTGTGTGTGTGTGTGTGTGTTTGGCTCGACCCTCGGTTCGCTCTTGGAAGGAGTTTTGAGCTAGCACAAAAAAAAAATTCATTCGAAAGATTTCAAAGCGAACATTTTTTCGCAAGGCATTTCAATTATGCAATGCCACATGTTCCATAATTAAAGAGAAAAATACGCTCATGTATAGAAAAGGCAAAGGGAAGAAGAAAGGGTCCAGGCCAGGACGGGCCAAAGGACGCGCATTGCAAAGCGGATTATGGGATCGCAAAGGCTGGCCGTGGGTCGAGGCTTGGTCGAGGAGCGCTCAAAAATAGACGCAAGTTCAGAGAATGGGTGCAGCGAGGACAGCGGAAAGGGGAGTTAAAATGTTGCCAGTGTTGCCGACTCGGCGCCTTTTCCAGCTAAATGTGGCTATTTGCAGAGCTCGTCAGCCGAAAATAGTCCGAATTTAAACGAATTCAGCTATTTTGTTGGCGAGAAATCCGCACAACTTATGCGCTGCAAGCTAAACCAGCTATTTCAAGCTAGTTTTTTGTAGCGACATTTGCCAACACTGGCTGGCAGAAGGATGCTGAGCCTGTCGTCACAAGCTGTCTCGCAAATACAAAAAGCGCATGTCCTTGTTTCTTTTATTATTTATTTGATTAGCCCACTAATTAGCTTAAGCTGACCCCAAGTACATTTCCTTTGAAAAAAAAATATGAAATTCATAAGCTCTAACTAGTTGAGCTGGCCAACTAATGAGGGACACGACTGTAGAAAACAAAAGCCAGCTTTGAACATTTTTTAACGAGATTTAACTGTGACATTTTTCATGCGAATTATCTTTCATTTAAAGAGAGAGCTTTCATTGGCATTATGATTTAAACAGATGATGATTATTTCCCTTTGTGATGCCTCTTCATATACGAAATTCAAATGAAGAGAAGCTCATTTCAAACGGTAAAGCCGAGCGCTTTGGTATGAGAGAGAGAGAGAGAGAGAGAAAGATCGGAGTACAGTTAATCAACACTGCATAGTTCGGGAAGAAGAAGCACAGTGCGTTTGTGTATGTACAAAGGAGAGGAGAGAAGAGAGTGGAAGCTGTAACGTTTATCCCGACAGGGTATCTAGAAGCAGGCTTTTACCTGTTTTATTCAATTATTTTCTAAGCACAGTTATTTTCAAGCGGGAACCGTGGGCGAGCTTTCGCTGTATTAAGGCATTAGCATACACACACACATGCGTGCGCATACATGTTTATGTATATGCAGATATAAGTAGCCAACACGTGTGCATTGAGTGTCAGCAATTAAATGTCTGTGCATGTGTGTGTGTGTGTGTGAAGCCCGCTTCATTGTGTGGCTACTTGTTGCAGTTGCTGTTGGTCCTTGACATTGAGTGCGAGGACGCATTAATTGTGCATGTATGATTGGAACAGCATCTCTTTGTGTATCTGTGTGTTTGTGTGTGTGTGTGTGTGTGTGTTTGCTTTAAAAATAAAACATAATTGTGTTAGGTGCGTGCTCGCATGCCTTGGTGCTTACCTGGTCTCCGCATTGCCTGCCACTTTGAGCTCGAGATAACTTAATTATAAGTCTCCCTTTGAGTTGAACAGGTGTTTAGATTAAATGCATTTCCGCTAAACAAAAAATAAAAAAAAAAAACAAAAAAAAAAGCAAACACATTTGGCGCGCAAGATTATGCAGCGTAGATTCAAATCGTTGAAAATATATGTATTCAAATTTGTCACCATTTGTTGTCCCACATTTGAGTAGACTGTGATTAGCAGTTATTTTTAGCACGTGCGATTTGTTTACACTCAGGTACAGGACTGCAGCATCACAGACAGGACAATGGGATGCGGTGCGTTGTCAGTCGCAAACTGTTTTGCACGTTGCCCGTGGCCCGTTGCGGGCCAAAGCCAAAAGCTTCAAGCTGTGCGGCATCGATACCACAGGCTGCGCATCGTCGTAATCGATTAATTTTTGTGCGCGGCCGCTTAACTATCGATATGTGAAATGGGCGTGTTTTACTTCGCTGTGATTGCGACATCGCTAGCGCTGGCTCGCTTTTGCTTTTGCGATAGTTGATATGAAGCCACCCAACGATAAGTCGATGTCGATAAGTCGCATGTGGCGCGTTGTTTGATTATGAGTATGAGCAACAGCGGCTGCTAATTTATTTTAATTTCTTTTTAAATGATATTTGATGTTTAATTAACAATGTTTTTATTTGTTTTGTTTTGTTTTTTATTTTCCTTTGAGAAAAAAACACTTAGCTTTTAAGATTCATGCTGTAAATATTCGATTTTGTTATTTCATTCAATTTCCTTTTTGGGCTTTTTGCAAACTCTCATTTCCTTCTAGCATTTGGAATTTTGCAGCTAAACATTTGTTGAATTGAATTTGTTTCTCATTTCATTTCATTTTTATTATTTAATTTTTTTGTTGTTTATTTTTTGCTACAGCTGACATCAAGTACATTTGCGTATGATTTTTGCTTATATGCGTTAATTTGCATTTTGTTTTATTTTTTATTTTTTATTTTTGTTGACTGTATTTCTAGGTTAAACATTTAATACGAAATCATGTCTATGAAAATACAGCATTCATAAATGTATATATTAATATATATTTATTTATATATATTTATATAAATATCTATATACCCTTTTCAATGCTTTGCAAAATGTGAAACAAAATTAGTCGAAGCTGAATTTTCCACCTTTTTGTTGAATCACTTCAACAGAAAATGTCTGCTTGTTTTATATAGTACATGTTTTAGATAATACAAATATAGATGTTTTGCATATGTATATATATATATATATATTAAAAAACAAAAAAAAAAAAAAAAGGAGTTCATTTTGGAGAAAAAAACAAAAAATTAATTTACATTTTAAATAGAAATATGCTAAACCCATAAACTGCATTAACAATGTGTATTATGTGTGTTTATTTGTTCTTTACTTTTATTTATTTTTTTTTTTTTTAATTTTTTTTCAACAGTTTTGTCAATAATGTTTATAAAAATTGATTGAATTCTCTTTATATGCATATTTGTTCTATTTTACGCACACTTTCCACATGCATTTGTCAGCGAATAGAAAGTTTTGCAGTGTATTTTCTTTTTTTAAATGTATTTTTTATTTTTTTGCTTTTGTTTTGTTTTTTTTTTTTTTTTTTTTTTGTAAACTGAACTGATTTCTGCATAGTTCTGCTTTTGTTTAGGAATTTGCAACAACACAAATACATACACATTTATATAAATTCATAATATGCATGTTGTTTGTTTGTTTTTTTTTTAAGTTTAAGTTTTTCTTTGACATTTATTATGTTTGTTTACAGTTAATGTGTTTTGTTTTATGTATATGTATGTTTATACTTGGCAAATGAACCGTAGCAAATCCAAAATGAATTAAAAGTAAATGCAAGTGCAATAAAACAATAAAATAATTTTTTAAATATATAACTTTTTCCCAGCATGCTGAAACAATTCTCCTCGCGGTCAGCGCGTGTGGAGTTCTTTCTTCTTCTTCTTCTTCTTCTCACAAAACAACAAAAACCATTTATATAAGTGGGGTGCTTGCGTGCGTGTGTCGTATGTGTGTGTGTGTGTGCATATAAATATATGGATCATGTGTGTGTGTGTGCAGGTTATGCGGTAAAAATTGTGTAAGCAGCAAATGCAACAACGCACGCGCAACGCCGCATTCAACTTAATGGAGCAATAGCGAGAGAGAGAGAGAGAGGGAGAGAGAGTGTGTGAGAGAGAGTATGTAACAATAAGAAGGCGAGAGAGAGAGAGACAAGAGGGAGCACGCTGTACGCATGCAAATGATTGACTGGCTGCTGGCTGTACGAAGAGAAGGGAGAGAGCAAGAGAGACTAACGTCTCTACCCGTCTCTCTCTCTCTCTCTCTCTCTCTCTTTCTCTTTCTCCGGCACTGTTTTAGTATATTGCTATTGCCGATTACTTTTTGTTGCAAGTTGCAGTTTTGCTTACGGTTATTTTTGTTTTTACTTTAACAATTACATTATCTAAACATGTGTCCTTTACGTGTGTGTATATATATATGTGTGTGTGTGTGTGGGTGTACATAATTTTGACAGTTTCGATGGCCTAAACAAATTACGAATTTTGCTCAATTGAATTCAAATTTTGACAATGTTCTTCTTGTTGTTTAGTATAACAGAAATGATTATTAATTTCAAGTGAGCAAATATTTAAACAATTGTTTAACTTTTATGGAATTTGCCACACAGCAAATGGATTTTGTGGCTGCTGTTTTAATTGTTGTTGTTGTTGTTGTTGTTGCTGCTGTGTTCGTTGTTGTTGCTATTTGTTGTTGTTGCTGCTGATGTTGTTGTTGTTGTTGTTGTTGTTGTATTTATGGCATTCAGAGCAAAAACTTGCCCAGCAACAGACCCAAAATGGCCGCAGCAATTGCAATTGCTATAAAAAAGACCGGAATCTGTTTTTCAGCCAGAACCGGAGCGTACGGCTCGTTGATGTGCTTGTTGGCCGGAGAGCTCCGATAGCGTGTAATTTGATCCTTGATATGGAAAAAAAGATTGATAAAAAAATACAGATATTAGTTTGTATAGTTCAAATGAACTGGTTCTTAAATTAATCTATTTTCATTAGTCTTTATACTAAGTTCAATTGAACTGGTTCTTAAATTAATCTATTTTCATTAGTTTTTATACTAAGTTCAATTGAACTGATTCTTCAAATAATCTATTGAACTTATTTATGGTATGTATACTAAGTTCAATTGAACTGGTTCATCAAACAATGTATTGAACATATATTCATTAGTTTGTATTTGAACTGGTTCTTAAATTAATATATTTTCATTAGTTTTTATACTAGGTTCAATTGAACTGGTTCTTTAAATAATCTATTGAACTTATTTATGGTTTGTATACTAAGTTCAATTGAACTGGTTCATCAAACAATGTATTAAACATATTCATTAGTTTGCATTTGAACTGGTTCTTAAATTAATCTATATTCATTAGTTTTTATACTAAGTTCAATTGAACTGGGTCTTTAAATAATCTATTGAACTTATTCAACGATTAGCGAACTAATATCGCTCGATAATGAACAAAACATTTTCTTTACTATTTGGTTCATGAACGATGCTCATAATTCATTTTTAATCTATTCAGTTGCAGTTGATTGACTTAATAAGACATTTATTTTTTTCTAAATTCCATATTTTAATAAAGTAATTCGAATTTGGGAAATTCCACACGCACGTGCGGAAATCGTTTGTAAAATATTTTGTTGTTTACCATCCGATCGGCCCTGAACCCATTTTCAAAAATATTTGTTCAAATTCATTTGAGGCGTGTTTCACACTTCTCGAAAAATGCATTCCTCCTTGGCGAAAATGGGAATCAAATTCATTTCCAAGGATCTATACGAAAATTCATTTGAGGCGTGTTTCACATTTTTCCAAGAATACAAGCTTTCTCGGTGAAAAATGCGATTTAAAGATTTTTAAAGCTTTAAACTTATTTTCAAAGTTCTGAATAAGAGCCTAATGACTACGTGTTTGGGAAATTCCACACGCAACAGTGGAAAATTGGCGGAAAACGGTTGAAAGTTTTTTGTTTACCCTTCGATCGGTTTCAATATAATTTTCAAAGATCTTTGAGCGAATTTATATGAACCAATCGAATAGTTCATGAACTACTGAATAACAGTGGAATGCAACGTTCATAAGAACCGATCTGGTTCACGACTTGAAAATGTTTGATTGAACTTCTCGGACATGAACTAATGTAGCATTTCATACAGATATAAAATAGTTGAACAATTTGGTTTTACCTTCAAATTTAGAATCTCTCTTCGCAGTTCGCAGTTGAGGTCGCGTAGCTCCTTAAGCTCGGCCAGGGCTTCGGCATGCTCTGTAGCATCGGACAGATTTGACGACTGCAATTTACAATATATAGTTGGAAAATATGGCAATATATAGGGGGAAACGCACCTGGACCACGGCGGACATTGCCGGCGCATCGCTCTTGAGCGTCTCGCCTGTGCTGAGTGAGGTGGGCGGATTGGTGCCCGAGCTGCCGCCGGCGCTGGCATTGCCGCCGCCGGCGCTGCTGTTCTCGGCGTTCGCCTCGGCGGGCGGCATTTCAAATACGCACTTTAGCTTGGCGTCCATTAGCTGATCCGGCTCCAGTTCCCGCCACTGCAAAAACAAAAAAACAATTATTATCTCTTAATTAGAAAATCAGGCAGCGGGGAAATGTGCTTACCAACTTATTTAGATCAGTCAAATCGGCATCCTGCGGTGCTAGGACGCTCTGCACCATAAACTTGTGCTTGTTCTTTTCCTGCTGATCGTACATGAACGGCTGCAGGCAAACTGCAAAGGTAAGCGAATACAATTAATCAGAATTTCATTTATATTTTTGTTCGCAGCTTTTCACTCACTTTCCACCTGCGTCGAGCGATAGGGCGCAATCTTGCCAATATTTGGACGTACGCAATAGCGCTTCGGTGCCGTGGTCTTGATCTTGAAGACCAGCGTCATGGCCGAGTTGTTTTTCAGGGTCATGATTGTCACCACGGGTCTATTGAATGGACCTGCAAATAAATGTATATATAATACGCATACAAATGGCATTTGAACTTTGTTTCGTGTCTGTCAAGCTGCGCCAATTCCCGAGATACATGTTTTCTAGAGCACTTCAAGATTGCGTCACTTTTTTTGCCTAAATTCCGATTCCGATTCCGGGTACATTGGCTATGAGACATAAGAATACGCAAGACGCGCTTGATGACCTGTCCCGAAGGTTGTCTTGCATGACGCATCTTTTTGAATTGGAAAAGTTGTGCTTTAGTTAGTTTTTATGTGCTATTCAAGCATGAAAGATAGTCCACATTAAGGTTATAGTATATATAGTTAAGGTATATACGAAGAGGCAAGACACTCTCGATGACTTGTCACTGAGATTGTCAGCTGAGGGCCTGACATGTCAGCGAAATTGTCTGCAGCGAGAACCCGATCATTTTTGTAGGGTATTTAGGCGTCGGTGCGTGCCAAGTGATAATTTGGTTTTGGTTTTTCATGTCAAATTAATTGAATTAAAAGCAAACACCACACACACACACACACACACACACACACATGCAAGAAACTTTGGTGCTTTGATTTTGTTTTATTTCGAAGGAAAACTCATTCAATAAGACGCCCAATACATACGTACAGTTGTGTGTGCGTGTGTGTGCGTGCGTGTGTGTGTGCGTGTGGACATTCTGTCACCGATCGTTGGGGAAATGGTAAGCGACAGGCGACAGGCGACATGTATATGTATGTATGTGTGTGTGCCTAATACCAACACATGCTCACACGCACATGTATACAGTGGGCATAAATTGATAAAATGTCACCTGTTTACAGTATTTTGTGTGTGGTGTGGTGGCTCTTGGCTATTGTGAATGGGTTCCACTGTGCGCACTAGATATCAAAGTGTGTTGTCATATGCATTGTTGTTGTTATTTGGCCAAAATTCAAAAAATAAAAGGAAAAATGGCTCATGAAAAGCTGTTGAGTATAAAAATAACATGTTGGCCAAAAGGCGAGCGACCAAGACAGCGTGCGGCAAAGGTTTTTCACAAAAACTCAAGGCACAGGGAGAGAGCGCGCGCAAAATGTAGAGAGAGAGAGGGCGAAAACGTAGAGCGGCGGCATTTCCAAATGAAACGACGCCAGTTGCTGGCGCTGCTCGCGGTCGCAGCGCTGGTGGCAGCAACATGCCAAAACAGCCGCACACACGTACCCTCAAAATATGTCAAAAAAAAAAAAAAAAAAAAAAAAGCTAAAACAACAAAATTATTGATAAGCTGTGGCCAAACGTAAAAAAAATAACGCAAAGTGAATAGAGAGCAAAAGAGAAACGAGAAGAAGCGGCCCTGCGCCAGTAGTCTGCATGTGTACGTGTATGTGTGTGTGTGTATGTGTGAACTTTGCAGTTTGGTCGGCGGTCGCCGACAGCAGCACTTTGTAGCAATGTTTACAATACGCATTCACTTGCCCATTGCTGGATAAAAGTGATCGATATGCCGCCACACACAGAGGCAGAAGTGACCTTCTTTTTGGATGGCCCATGATGTCAAGTCCAAAACAAAACAAATGCAAGAGCGAATGCAGCTCTACACATTGCCTGCTTCTTCTTTTTTTAATTCAAATTCACACCAACACACACACACCACACACGCACACACACGCAAACAAACATACATAGACTTACCAATAAAGCGCAACTCATGCTCTGGCTCAATGGTCAGCGGAACTTCAAATTGTGGTGCTTTATTCATTTTGATGTGGTTGTTGTGCTGCTGCTGCTGCTGCCGCTGCTGCTGCTGATAGTAGTATTAATTGTATACGTCACTGCCGATTCCTGTCGTCCTCTTGGCTGTAATTTGCAACGATGCTGCGCTGCTGTTAATGCTTCTTCTTATGCCTGGGGAATAATTGAGAACAATGGGAACAATTGTGGCTATTGCAATTATTTATTTGTTACCTTTTTCTTGACTTACGTTCTGTGTGTGTTTTGCGCTATTCTATTTTGGAGTTTCGAACTACTTTTGTTTCGAATTCTTTCAGCTTAGCACACACTTTCAAGATTTTTGACGCGACTCGACAAATTTTGCTTTCGATTTCGCTTGTTTTTTTTTTCTTCTTCACTGCGCTTCACGTCGTCGCCGTCGTCGTCGTCGTCGCTCGTTCTTGTCGTCGTCGTCGTCGTTGCGTTGCGTTGCGTTGTCGCTATGGTTGTGTGTCTGCTGTGCCTTATGTCTGTGTAGCCACCAAAATATCGGTAAATGTATGCGCAAAAAAATTAAATACACGAGGTTATTGCGTGCAAAAACTGACGATCAACGTGTTGTTTGCAATTTACTCGAGCCGCCAATGTGCAATTGGATTAATACGTTTCGCTTTCAAACTGACTTACGTTAATTACACGCACTTTAGGTTCGTACTTTTAGCAGCGAATTTTTCGTATGCAAAAAAAAAAATTCAGTCACCGCCGTCATACATATGTACGTCAGACGCATGCGTCAACCATAGCGTACCAGACCAGCCGGCATTTAGAGTTGCCAGATCAGCAAAATGCGGCAACGCTGCGACGACACTGTACGCGATGCAACGCTGCGTCCAACCAGGTGGCAGTGCACGCGCTGCAGCGCAGCGGCGAATTCAAGCCGCCAGATTTAAACGATTCAAACGCCCAGAAACTAGCCAACAGAACAAACACATTTATTTAAATAGATGTAATTGTTTATATGTATATATTTCTTATTCACTTTGTTGTACATATTCAATATGTAATACTTAATGCTGGCCATCTAATTTTCCGCCGACATCGCAAGACTCTGACTCACATACTGCAGGATGCTCGTCTTGCCCACAATGCCAGCCGGGCCGAGCAGGATCTTCAGATTGCCAACGGCCGCCAATAGATTCTCGGGCATGCGCAGCTTGGGCGTACGCAATATATGCTCGATCAGACGCGGATAGTCGCTGGCAACGGCGCCGCCAATGAGCTCCTGGTTAAACGCGAGCATATAGCACTTGAAGAGGAATCCGTAGGCATGCTGGGCATTCGGCGAGTTCAGCCGGTTCACCTGCTCGGCCAGGCTGTGCATGACGGCGCCGTCCAACTTATGGCGGATGGCACCGCTCAGCAGATTGACGGCCTCCAGCGTTGAGGCCTGACGCAGTAACTGAAATTGGAATATTGAATACACAAATGTGATTTAACAAATAATTGTTTATCCTTTACCCTTGTGTACTCGCTGGTCTCGCGTTTCTTGTCGGGATCCTCCAACAGCGCGACCAGCTGCTCGCCCTTCCACAGCTGCGCATGTTGCAGCCCGGATCCGATCAGGCCCGCCATCCGGCCACGCATCTCTGCAAGTATCACAGAATTATACATTTATCATATCTGGCGATTCATGGTGCGGCCCTCACCTGGCGACACGAGCACGGATCGCGCCATGTTGTTGACGTGGTATTCGACGACCAGATCGAGCAACGCGATGCGTGCCAGCTCAAAGTTCTCGAGCGTGCCGCGCAGCTGATCCATGACGAGCACGATCTGCGAGGCCAGCGGCCAGTTGCTGATGCGCCACGAGCTGAGCTGGCCGTGCAGGCGCACATAGCCTCTGGCCAGCTGCAGCTTGTGCCGCGCCAGCTGCATTCTGTGCTCTGACGCCTCGGCGAGACGACGTCGCTGCTCCTTGTACGATTTGTGGCTGCAGCGCACGATGCGCTGCTCCACAGCCTCCAAACTGAGCAGCGTCTTCAGCAGCCGCTCGAGAGCTGTGTAGTTGCGTGTTTCGGTGAAACGGGCGAGGCCGGCGGCGCAGGCGGACAGATAGTTGTCCTGGCCGGCGTGCAGCTGCCGGCCGCTGTATGGCAGCGCGTCCACACTGAGATTAAGCGCCAGTTCGCGCAGCCGGCGGGGGCGGGGGCGCAGGACGTGGCTGAGACGCTGTCGCCGGCACTTGATAACCTGGCGATAGCGCATGCCATTTAATAGAACCGGCTGCTCATAGAGCCGCACAAGCAAGTCCCCAGAGCTGGGCAGCGAGAGCAGACGCTCGTCCAGGAGCAGGCAGCGTACGGTGTAGCCCACATGATGCCGGGCATGGGGCGAGCAGCTGGCGGCGATGTGCCAGTAGAGTGTGGCGTAGCGTCGATGGGTCATGGCCAGCTGGGCAAGACCCAGCCAGGTCTGCGCCGGCTCCTCGTAGCACAGATCCAGAAACTGATCGAGCGGAAAGCGCTCGATGGAGCAGCCCAGCTGGTTGAAGAAATAGATGCGACGCGAATTATGATTGTCGCGCGTGAACGTGAAGCGGCTGAGCAGCTGCAGCTGGTCGCGTTTGTGGAGCAGCTGCAGCTTCTCCTGGCTGCTGCAGCGCGTCTGATAGATGGGCAGCAGGACGCTTTGCAGCAGCTCGCTGTAAGGTGCATTCGGATCGCAGTCGTCGACGTCGTCGTTGTCCTCGTCGTCATCGTGAAGGGTCAGCACCTGGCCCAAATGCTCCAGCATGAGCTCCGCATGCGCCGCGCCGAGCAGCTGGATGTGCCCAGCTAGCGTCTCGACGCACTCCTCGTTGCCAAAGCAAATGGGACGGCGCAGCAGTTCCTTGAGCGCGGCCAGCAGCTGATCGTCGGGCACGACGCCCATTTCGCCATCGAGCAGGCCGAGCAGCTCGCCCAGAGTGAGCGTGTCCAGGCGCTGCTCGAACGTCTGGGCGCCGTCCTCGAAATTGGCCAGCTGCGCGCGGAGCGTGTGCGTCTGGAGGGTCTCATCTTTGGCCAGCATCTGGGTCAGCGCCTGGCACTTGTTGCCGACGTGCGCCTGGAGGTGGAAAAGCAGCTGGCTGGAGGACATCTCCTGCCAGGCCATGTACGTGTCCACGCTTATGTGATGCAGCAGCAGCTGCAGCGTGTCCATCACCTTGCCTCCAAATTCGCGCAGCTGCGGCGACACCGAAGACAGCTGCTCCGACGACGACGGCGGCGGCTCCTGCGATGTGGGCGAGTGCAGCGCATAGACCAGAAAGTAGGCCGGCAGCTCCGGCGGCTGCTGCAGTGCAGCCAATATCTCCAGCAGAACGTCGAGCAGCTGGCACATGGCCTCGCCCAGATAGCGCTGGCGCTTCTTGGAGCTCAGCGAGCGCAGGCGCTCTTCGCTGTTCAGCAAATGTCGCTGCAGCAGCCGCAGCGCATTGTCCACCAGGCTGAGATTGGGCTGCGCCTGGTAGCAAATGGCCTTGGTCACGGCGGACAGGGCGCCGCCGATGAGCGGCAGCGTCTCCCGCTTGCCGGGCACCAAGTGGCCCAGCAGATTGTTGAGGCAATCAAAGTACTGCGTGGTCAGCCAATGCGGACCGCAGGCCAAGAACTCGAGCAGCATCTGCTCCAGGCCGCAGAGCAGCAATACGCTCACGGTGAGCAGCTGGGGCAGCGGCTCCGGAAATTGTTTCAACAGGTGCACACACTGCGGATTCCAGTGTGCCAGCTCCTGCTCCTCCTTCTGGCTCTTGCCCACCACGCTGTTCAGGATCAGATACATGAGCGTGCCGCGCAGCTGGTCGAGATCGGCGCTGGGATTTGGTTTGACCAGCTGCGGGGGCTGCGGCTGCTGCTCGACAAGGCCGTGCTCCAGCAGCACGTGCAGCACGCGTTTCGCCACATTTCGTATGTTCTCCTCGTTGCCTGCGGGAAAAAAAATGTAATTTAACTGTAATTTTGAGGAGACGCAACGCTTACCGCTAAAATAAATGAAGCTGTTCAGACGCTTTGTTTTTGTATGGAAATCGACCAGCTCGACGCGTATTTGTTTGAACACCTCGCAGTTGTTTAAGGCGCGCAAATCGTGCATTTTGCTCTCTGTAAATGGAACGCAATTAACGAAATTGTTAGCGTTTCCTCATCTCGTTTACAAATGCAGACTGCCGGCAAAATGAATTCGCCGCATGAATCGAGTGGAAGGTTACACACAAGTAGTAAGGTAGTGTTGAGAATGCTTAATGCTCTGTCTGTTTGCAGTTGGCGCGCAATTTGAATATGTGTGGCTGCCACTTGAAATAAATAGATGTGTGCTAAAATCGAAAAATGTGTAAGCTGAAAAGGAACATATTTGTATATATACATATTGTGTGCTATTTGCAGTTTAAATAAGGTCAAATGTAAGGGTACGCAAGTGTCTTTGGGGCAGTGAAGTAGTGTTGAGAATGCTCAATGCTCTCTTATTTTTCAGTTGGCGCGTGGTTTGAATATGTTTGGCTGGTTCATGAAAAAATAGGTGCTTGTGACGTCACAGTGTATTTCGCTGCAACTGGCACAAATTTGCATATCGATAGAAGTTATCGAACAGCTGACTGGTTGGGTGGGGGGTGGCGGCACAACGATTAATTGCAATAGCAAATGGGCCGCCTATCGGCCGGCTGTAGCGCAAAGCGAATCAACGGCTGCATAAACCGAGTTACTGCGCTGTGAAAAGCGTGTGCAACCGAAGGACAGCACAAAAATTGGGCCAAAGATGCAAACGGCCAGCAGGTAAAATTAACACTCACTGCCAACGACTCACCCAGACTGAGATTCGCGAGCGCGGTTACCATGGAGTTGCGCGAGCTGCGCGCTGCTGCTGCTGCTGGCAACAACAGCGCTGGCGAGCTGGGCGGCATTTGCATTGGCAGCTCCTCGGAGGACGGTGTCCAGCGCATACCGACCCGGGCGGATTTGTTTATGGAACAGCTGAATGCGACAAATGCCAAAAAGGTGGCACTGCTGCTTGTGCTCGGCTTTGTGCTCTACCACGGCCTGCTCAATTGGAACTACGGTGCGTTATCGATAAATGCCTATCGACCTATCGATCGCTGGCATACCGTTTGATTTCATTTTGTTTTTGGTTTTCTCTCTCTCTCGTTCACAGGCAGCGACTCCTGCCAATGGCTGCTCTCGAAGGGCCGCTTCAAGGGCGACAACGAATGGCAGCCCTACGGCTGCATGATGCACAAGTACTCCTACACGTGAGTCTGGGGTGCCCAGCCCCACAATTTTATCTAGCGTGTACCCATTGAAAAATGCACAAATCGGGGTATATTCGCATCACATGTCCGTTTGTCGTTTGTCTGTCTGAAGTAAAACTCCAAAATTGAAAGATGTGATTGGTCTGTTTCAAATTATCGATAAATGGCTCCGAAATCAATAATTATCGGTTTATATATATACCTTACTCTTACAGGTATTTACCCTACCGCTTACAGATTCATGTAATTGTTAGGCTTCTTTATAACCGGAAATAGTGTACTATCAATTTGGAATTGATGTTCTTGTAGACGCTTACGCTGATCAAGTATGTTCCAAACTGTTGATAATTCTGCCTATTTATCGATAAATATCGATTTTTATATCTCGGAGACGATAGACACTAAAATTGGGGCTTTAACAGACCTATTGGCCTACAGCAATTTACAGCTGGCTTTTTCAAGGGAGATATATAAGGTATATACCCTACCCTAACAGGCACATACCCAACCCTAACAGATTCATGAAATCATTAAGCACAACAGTTTCTCTATATCCGTAACCAGGACACTCTCATATTGGAGTTTATTTTCCTATTCGATAATTCTGTCTGTTTAGCTGAAATCGATAAATATCGATTTTTAGTCCAGATTTGTTCTTTTTGTATATCTACAGCTTTATTATAACCGGGAATAGGGTACTGTCAATTTGCAGTTTATGTGTTTATAGACCTTCCGCTGATCGATAATTCTGCCGCTTTGGCTAAAATCGATAAATATCGTTAGTTATCTCAGCGATGAGAGGCGCTAAAAGCAACCGATTTGCTGCGCAATTTATTGTCTTTGGAAATGTGACTCTCGACTCATGACTCACTTTGGCTTTTTTGAACACAGGGTATCTGGCGATCGAGCGTACTTGTGCTTGGTTAAAGGCTGCCCTTATCGGCCGACGCTGAGTCACCAAATTGAAATTCGTTATCACGCTCTTTCCATTTGCAGCGACACGCGACGCTGCCTGCGCTATTTGGCCTTCTTTGGCAACAAGAACAACTTCGTCTTCATCGGGGACAGAAGCGTGCGGCTTCTCTATGACCGTTTCGTGGAGCAGCTGCAGCTGCCGCAGGCATCGGCCAGCGAGACGGGCGACGACGTGGACGTGGATGATGAGTACGATAACAATGCCTCGGCGCGGGCAAATGTTGCCCGTTTCGAGGACAAAAAACTGGACATACTTGTGCAGTATATTGGCGCCATGGAGGTCAGTCCGGCGCTGATCGATCGCCTCTACCAGCTGGAGCAGGAGAAGCAACTGTCCTCCGTCTATGTGATGGGCCTCACCTATGGCTCGCTGCTCGCCGGCAACGTAACCGACGAGTTGTTGCGTCAATATAGCGTCAATTTGACGCTTCTTGTGGCGCCCATCCATCGCCTTGTGGCGCAAACATCTCGCGTTCTTTGGAAGCTGGCGGAGCGTGTCGACGAGGAGAAGCTGCCGCCCGCCTGGAAGCTGGTGCTCAACGAGGACATCGATCGCCTGAACAATGTGGCGCGCAATGTGTTCCGCTATACGGACGCCAGCGTCTGGGAGTCGGCCGGTCACATTGCCAATGGGCTGCTGGACAATGCCATCGAGGGGCATCGGCTGAGCGCGCACGGCCAACGACTCGAGGTGCAGCTGCTATGGAACATGTACTGCAACGATCAGATGAACTATAACGATGGCACCTGCTGCAGCAGCGCCGAGCCGCACACTAGCCTTCAGATTGTCGCATATGCTCTCTTTGGTGTTTGCATTGCGCTCGTTGGCGGCATCTGTCTGCGCCGCTGGCTGCTCCACATGCGCGGCCAGACGCTCTACGTGCCGCTCCAGCAGCAGCAGCAGCAGTCGTCGCAGTCATCCTCCGCCTCGTCGCACTCGCATCATCCGGCCAATGCGCTGGCCGTGCTCATCACGGACTATGGCACACCGCTGGTCGCGCTGTCCCTGCTGGGCCTCATCATGGCGTATTTCTATCTGTGCGATCGCACCAATTTCTTCATGAAGGAGAACAAATACTACTCGGAGTTTAGCTTCTGGATACCCGTGGCGTATGTGTTTGCTTTGGGCCTGTTCTTTACGGAGGAGTCACGCTTCACCAAGGTGCTCAATCGGCAGCAGACGGACGAGCTGCGCGGCTGGATTCTGCTCGTGGTGCTCATCTATTATATGACCGGCGCCCAGCGTATTCTGCCCATTCATATGCACATCAAACTGCTCATTTCGGGCTATTTTTTTCTAACCGGCTACACGCACTTCACCCACATCTGGCAGACGGGCGGCTCCGGTTCGATGTTTGTACGCTTCTTTCAATCCATGTTCCGGCTCAATTTCTTGAGCATACTCCTGTGCTTCTGCATGAACCGGCCGTATCAATTTTATTACTTTGTGCCCCTGCTCTCGTTCTGGCTGTGCGTCATCTATTTTGTACTGTCGCTGCCGCCGCGCATCACCAGCGCCTCAGTGGACGCCAATCCTCTACACTATCTCTATCTGGTATGCAAATGCATTGGCTGTCTGGGCGTCATAACGGTGCTCTTCATGTCCGAGGTCTTCTTCGAACGGATCTTTGTGACGCGTCCATGGAAAGCGCTGTTCGTGACCACCGATGATGACATTCACGAATGGTGGTATCAATGGAAACTCGACCGGTATACGGTCACCTTTGGCATGATCTATGCGGCCTGCTTCCATATTGCCCAGAAGTACAATGTCTTCGATGACAACAATCATGGCAATCTGTTCTCGCGCCGGACATCGATTTCGGTCACATTGCTGGCCCTGCTCGGCGTGGGCATCTATACGGCGTTCTCGTTGCTCTGCCGCAATGTCCAGAACTGTGAGGAGATCCACTCCTATATCCTGTTCATACCGATTATCGGATATGTGGTGTTGCGCAACATTTCCGGCATTCTGCGCACCAGATACTCCAGTTTCTTTGCCTGGTTCGGACGCATCTCTCTCGAGCTGTTCGTCTGCCAGTATCACATTTGGCTCGCCGCCGATCGACATGGCGTCCTGGTGCTGTTGCCCGGCTTTCCGACGCTCAACATGATCATCACATCGTTTATATTTGTGTGCGCCTCGCATGAGGTGCATCGGCTCACCCGAATCCTGTTGCCCTATGCCGTGCCCAACGATTGGCGCCTGGTCATGCGCAATCTGGTCATCTTTCTCATTGTCCTCATACCAGTTGCCCGATCCGATGGCATGTTCTAATTGTTGGTCAGGTGTTGGCAATCAAATTGCCCGCCACAACCTACGCGCAACACGTTCGCATACCCTGCTTTTAAAATGGAAAATGAGCATATTGGTGTGTCTGTCTCATAATCACAGTTTGAAAGTCACTTTACAAACTTTTTTAATCTTCATTTTTTTTTTTCTGTGAGCAGGGTATTGCGTAGTCGACTACAAAGTTTGCGCTGTTTTTTTTTTTTTGTTGTTTTCCAAAGGTATTTCAATACACACACACACATAGACGCGCGCGCGCGCTCACACACATGCGTACACACGCGCGCTCACGCACACACACATGCGTACACGCGCGCGCTCACGCACACACACACGCTCACTTATTACAACTACGCTATAGTTTAAAAGGAAAAACCCAATTAGATGTATGTCAAAAAAACAAAAAAAAAAAAAAAAAAAAAAAAAATTAGCTTTACCAACTGCACAATATACTTATTAATTCTACACTTGCATATTTAAATGTAAAAAAAAAAAAACAAATAATACATGTATTTCACAAGCAAACGTAATGGCTGCCATTAAAGGAATCTGTCTGCGAGCGCATTACAATATTCTTTCTTCTACAAGCAGACGAACAAATACAAGTTAAATAAAGAAAATAACATAAAAATTGCCAACGCTAATTTATATCTAGCAAACCAAAAAAAAAAAAAAACACTTTTAACTTACTGAGCACGCGCCAATATAAAATTTCTTGCTCAACTTTTTTTTGGGGAGCTCAAAATTTGCGAACCGAACGCGTCGAAAGATGAACAAAAAGGAAAGAATTGTCACAGGAAACGGGCTGGCAAGTTAGCCAAGTTGAGCACAGGAACGTCGGAAATGGAACGATAAAAAAAATGCGCCGAATTTAATAGCGGCAAAATTTTGGGGCTAGCTTGAAATAAAAGTTAACTACAATTACAATACAAGCTCTTCACATACACATATATACGTATACATACATGCACACAAACATATGCATATTTTCGCGCAGCGAAAGAATCGTTGCCTTGCGAATTCGCCGCATTTTGAGTGGATTGTCAAGACTGGAACGAAAACGACGCAAGTTAAATAGCAGCAAAGTTCGGAACTAGCGTGAAATAAATGTAAGGTTTTATTTTGGGATCAGTTTAAGCGAAATGTTAAGTACAATTACAGTTGTGTTACAATTTTAAAGATCTTATACAAGCCGTTTTAATATAATTACATGCATGCATTTTACAGGCTCTTCATATAACACACACATACACATGCAACCATATGTATGTTCAATATTTTCAAGCAGCAGAAGAACCGTTGCCTGCGAATTCGCCGCATTGTGAACGTCTTACACTTGTTGCTGTTGACGTCGAATGAATGAATAAATGCGCGCAATGCTCAAGCTACGTAAATTGGCGCAGGCAATAAAACAGAATTGATTGGAAGCAAAGAACCGTTGCTGTCGAATTCGCCGCATGGCGAATGAACGGCTTGACATTTCGTGAGCATGAAGCGAAATGGAAATAAATGCGCGCATTGCTCAGTCTGTGTTAAATCGCGCAGTGAATACAACTGAATTGATTTGAGGCAAAGCTTGTGAAATGGGCCGTTTATCGGGGCTCCTGGACACAAATTTGTGCTATTCTATTGAGACGCAGACGATTACGGTCAAGGGCCACTGAACCGGCACGAGTTGCATGACGAGCACATATCTCTTTCGCTAATTATGCTCCATATCCAACTGGACCCAGGACCCGTGACCTCGTTCCTGCTGCGGCCTTTGTTGCCGCACAGTTGCCAGCGTTAATTGAGACGCCGCGGGCGTCCCAGTTCCTAGGTCGGCGGACGACTGGGACTGGGCACAGCCGCTGGGACCAACATCCGTCTATATAAATATATGTATGTATGAATATGCAATTTTTCCTTCTATCTAAAAAACATACTTAAGTACAGTGGGAAGCTGGCAGAGGGAAGCGGGCAGAGGGAAGCAGGTAGTGGGAAGCGGGCAGAGCGAAGTGGGCAATGGGAAGTGGGCAGAGGGAAGCGGGCAGAGGAATGCAGGCAGAGGGAACCGGGCAAAGGGAAGCAGGCTGTGGCAAACGGGCAGAGCGAAGCGAGCAGAGGGAACCGGGCAGAGCGAAGCGGGCAGAGGGAAGCGGGCAGAGGGAAGCGGGCAGCGGGAAGCGGGCAGGCCATATTTCACGTTAAAATCTACTCTACTCAACTGAACTAAATTCAAAGTGTTAGCGAAAATTTGCGCAGTGTAGCCGAGCATGCGCGCTTTTTAGGAGCTTCCCTCTTGTTTTTGAATAGTCGTTGCACACATTGCTATATTTATATAAATACAGCACGCATTCGCTTAACGCAACCGAGCTAAAAATGTTATTTTAAAACGAGTTGCTTATTTGCATATATAATTTTTTGCATTTCGAAAAAAAAAAAAACTATTTGTAATAGGTTAATTTAGTTTAATGATATGTATGTATTTGGGCAAAAATGTCAACTTTTGGTCGTCACTTGAGCGAGGGCGTACTGTAGAGGGCTTTCAGAGCTTTATTAACGGGCAACTGCGTGGGTAAACAGCTTCAGTTAATGCACTTAAAATTTTTGACTAGCATTTCAAAAAAACAAAAAACAAAACTAAAATAGATTAAAGCATAGAGTACTTATTATAGGAAAATTGTGCCTTACAAGAATTTTGAATTTACATTTGTTTTATGCCTGAAAAAAATTTATGTTCAAGAGAGTTTTTAGTGCATGAAATGCATTTTTAATTATTTTGTTTCGATTTTATTGCTAAATTCTTTATTTTAATTGCTGCCGATATATCGATTGCTTTGTGCCGATAGCTCGTGCCGATTATTGACAGCGATCGGCAATTCGAAGCTTTGCCTGCGGTCGCGTTCATTGGTTCAGGAGCTCTCGTTGCAAAAGAGTTTTTTTTTTTTTTGTTGGCAGCAGCAGCAGCACAGCGACAGGCTGTCGGGCCTTTACCCTGGCAGCGAGCTTTCAAAGCTCTCTGCTAACGGTTAACGACCAAAAAGCTCAGCTCGCAACGTTTAAATAGCGGCCGTTTGCCCAGCGCTGGCTCAGTTAGCGGCTGAACGCAGACAGAAACAGTTCGTTCACAATCCCAGCAGCAGCAGCAGCAACAGCAACAGGAGCAGCAACAGGAGACAAGGCACAAAGCAACCAATGGAGAAGAAAGGCAGACTGGTGCTCCTCCCCCCACCAATCCGCCTCTTTGGAACTCTCCGCAAGGCCCAACAAGTGTGTTGAAAGTGGCGCAAAGACAAATATTTGAAGCTTGATTTTTGAAGCGAAATCCCGCGCGCAACTTTCAACATAGTCTACTTTTTGGGCAGCTGCTCCGTTTGTGTGTCTCAAGTTGTTGCTGCTGCTGCTGCTAATGTTGCTGATAAAGTTGTTACTTTCGTTTTTTTTTTTTGGTTTTTTTTGAGGTGTTTAAAGGTGTTTTCTTAAAAGAAAATCGTTGGTTTTTTTTTTTGTTGAGCTTGAGCAAAAGTGTGTCTCAATTTTTTTCCTGGTAATACTTATTGTTCTTTTCGATTTTTCAGCTGAAATATCAAAGCATCTTTAATCAAAACTGACTAAAAAACGAAAGACAGAGCCGTTAAACTCAACACAAGTCAAATCAATCTAATCAAATCAAATTCAATTTAATTAAATTAAATCAAGTAAAGCACAAAAATGAAAAAAATCAAATTTCAAGTCGAATCAGAACTCAAAACTAGCTAAATTTCAAGTTAAAAAACAAAAATTGGTAACTAAAAAGTAGAATAAAAATTTGAGCAAACAATCTAAAAAAAAAACGTTTAAGACATGTGTGAAATAAAAGTGGAAGTCCTTTGGGACTTCCCTTTAGGCCCGAAGATCAAGCTTTACGATTTCTGAGTCGTGAATTCCAAGACTCCAAAGTACTTTGAAAAAACGAATAAAAAATTGAACAATTGAAAAAGAAAAAGAAAAACTAGAAACATTTGAACAAACAATTTGAAAAACATTGAAAAAACTTTGAAAAAAACATTGAAAAAACATTTAAAAAACATTGAAAAAACATTGAAAAATATTGAAAAACATTGAAAAAAATTTAAAAACTAGTGTCTAATAAATACTGAAAGTGTTTCGTGCGGTTTACATTTCTGTCTGCACCTCAATATCATATGAAGCGTTAGGATCTCTGAGACGGGAACTCCAGGAAGACGGAAGATCAACAACATCTGAGGACATCTATTCTTTTTTAGGTAAGTGTTACAGCAATTGTTGCCAAGAAAGTCTTTATTTGTGTATTTGTGTTGTTGCCGTTGCCGTTGGTCTTCTTTTTTTTTTACTTGTTAATATCATTCATTACATTTTGCTGTGGTGTGGTCCTCGTAGTTAGTTCGGGGTCGGGCTGTACATATCTACATAACAATCTTTGTGTATGAGTGCATCATTCTCAATCATAATTACAGCAAGTGGGCGCACGCTACAGTCGGCTGTTACCGACTGCGCAATACTCTGTTCACGGTGTAATAAACACTTTGGCCAAATCGCGATTGCAATTCGCAACCAGTTTAAGCTTCGGGCGACTGAGCCTGACTGCAATTAATGTCCGGAAAAACATTTGAAATCGATTCGATTTGAAGGCTTGTGCCTTGAATAAAAATATAAATCAGTTATGGTCACCTTCTAGGTGAATCTTGGCTTGATACGCTAAAAAGATCAGCCTTAGGCTAGCTGCCTGCCACTTGAGGCGTTGCAATTCGCAACCAGTTTAAGCTTCATAAGGCATAAGTCTGCTGATCGAAGCGGAGAAATCTTGGAATAGGTTAAGTTCAATTTTTTTTGTTATTCAATTGATTTTTGCAATTATTCAAAATTAACTTAATCATATATATTTTTTATTGTCAATTTTGGCATGGTCTTCTAAAAAGAAGAACTGCCAAATTTCTAGACCCCGAAATTGGGTATAAAATAATTTTCACAATTTGGCCGCATCATAAAAAGACATATATACATATGTATATCCAAAACTGCAAGTTTTGTTCATAGGCAATAAACTCATTTTTACTGGTTGGACAGAGTATACGAGACATGTATAATACACACTCGAGTGAAACGCACTCGTGCCGAGAATATGCTGACTGTGAATATATTTCGAGCTCTTCATTCTCATCCGCATCCGCATTCGTATTCGTATTCGTATTCGCATTTGTATCCGCATTCGCATTCGCATTCGCATCCGCATCCTGTTCGCATCATGGCATCGCATTATTTCAACATCTTAATGCCTTTAACTGCGCATTAGTTATCAAAGCGCCTTCTCAGACATTTGCAATTTTAGTTCTGGCCAAAACCGAGAGCTCAGCTCCACAGATTACACGGCATAAATACAAGTTGTAAGATGTGTGTCGCATTTCTTTTTGCCAGTGTGGGCCTAATTGAATTTTTCAATTTCAGAGCCGCTTTCTCTTTTGATTACAAGAGCTTTTACCTTATATATATATATAGAGTATATAAAGGTTGCAAATATATTTTGCCTATAACTGAACCTGATTTTTGAGTGCTATCCTTGAGCTCTTTGACCACTTGAATAAAGAACGAACGAGTGTTTTCTTGCGAGCGATGTGTAAGACATAGCAGAAGACTTCGCCGTCGTCAGCAAGGGTATTCAATTATAGATAGTCCTTATCGTTTTATACTTAAATTTATTTTTCTAGCGATTCTCTTCAAATAATTGTGTGCTATAGAAGTCTACACATTTCCTGACATATCTATAAAGAGTACTAGACCCTAGATCAGAGCACATCTTCTTATATAAGGACGAGTAGCTACTTGCTCGCTCTCTCTCCCGCTCTCTCTCTGTCTCTCGCTCTCTCTCTCTCTCTCTCTTAGTACACATTTCTTGACATATTTATAAAAAATACTAGACCCTAGAGCAGAGCATATCTTCTTTCATAAAGACACTTAGCGATTCGCTAGCTCTCTCCCCCTTTCTAGCCCCCTTCCCTCTCTCTCACTCTCTCTCTCTCTCCCTCTCTCTCTCTCTCTCTCTCTCTCTAACGCTCTCTCTTTCTCCTTTGCCTCTCTCTCTTAGTATACATTTCCTGACATATCTATTAAGAATTCTAGACCCTAGAGCATATCTTCTTTCATAAAGACACTTAGCGATTTGCTCGCTCTCTTCCCCTTTCTAGCCCCCCTCCCCCCTCTCTCTAACGTTCTCTCCTTTGCCTCTCTCTCCCAGCATTTTAAATGCTTGTAAACAGTAATTAATCTTGGCTCACTTGCAAATTCTCAGCCCTTTGGCGTTTTGTCGACTCGCGACAATTGGGCTTCAAGTTTGCCCTCCTTCTCTCTCTCTCTCTCCCTCTCTCTATCTCTTGCTTTGCTCCTCTCTCTTCATCAGGCTGCAATGTTAACCTCCTCCCATCTGCTTATCGCCAATGACAGTGCGTGTGTCTGGCAGTTAATTAGATGGGCTGCGGCTCAGGTTGACTTCGACTTGGCTCCGCTCTGGGCTCTGGGCATACTGGCTACACTTGTTATGATTGCGCCAGACAGTTGATCAGACGAGGAGGGAGACGGGAGTGGGAGACGGCCAAAGAAAACTCAAGTTTACAAATTCCGAAATTTGTCTGTGTGTGTGTAGCACCAGGCCGTTGTTTTTTGCGTGGAGTGTAAAGGGTGGCGAGGGGTGTCGACATTTACCTTTTTGTTATGAGATATCCTTGCGTCGATTGCGATTTAAGCATTAATACTTAGCCCAAAAACCGAATCCACGAAACGACAAAGGGAACAATTTTTCGCAGACCAAAAATTGTACTTGGCACAGCAACTAGGAGAGTACGTGTGTGTGTGTGTTTATTGGACTGTGTGTACAATCGAGGCATTTGGATACCCTTAATCCATGGGCTAAAAAGGGTATATATTTTGTTTTGTGCAAAGGCAGAAGTAAGTAGATCCGAGCTAGGAAAGTATTTATATTCTTCAGGCCATGTCCATCCGTTCCTCCCTGCTGCTACGAGATCCAGAGGCTTATTATCTGGCGCCACGCATAATTCTGGTGGATTATCCTCGGCGTGGCTTGGAACTTTCGAACTTGCTATGCTTTTACCCAACAGCCCAACAATTATTAAGTATTATTGAGAAAAAAAAAACGAATTAAAATAGCAGCACAGAAAACAGTCGCAATTACAATGCTGTTAGATAATTTGCCAAACTAAGAAGCTTGTTCATTGAAAACGAATGAAAATTTCAAACCAGCTTGCTGGTACGAACCTGGAACTGAACCAGCGACTAAACCAGCTTGCTGGTTCGAACCTTGAACTGAATCAGCGACCATTAAGATAAAGATATATATTAGAGAAGACAGGAATTCATATACCTTACTGGCAAAATCATATTACCTCGCCCGATAAGGGCATAAAAATACTCTACATTTAATTGTGCGTATGCCAGGGCTGAATGATTATGACCATAGATTAAACAACTAGTTCGAGTGCTTGCTTAAACCGTTCATTTACGCATACATGGCAAATATTTGAAGTGGCAACAGTTGTAAACATGAGTGCAGGCAGGCAGGTAGCTGGCGGCGCATCGGACAACTGTTTCGCTACTAGATAACGACTTTTTCGACTGATATGAGTTTGATTTGTTATGTCCCAAACAAATGGCCAAAAAGGGGGCATATTGGCTTAGTGCAAATTGATGTAACAGAAGAAAACATCAGGCTAGAGTCTGGGGGACTATAAAGACCGAAGTCTGTTCCCTTAATAGAAGAAAAATCGAAAGCTAGAGTCTTGCGCCTTAGTACACACGCAGCCTTTAAGGCCTTAGCTAAGACCTGAAAATTTTATAAGAATCGGACTATGAAGACCGAAGTTCATTTAGAAAGCATCAAGTATATATCTAGTCCGTCTGTTCCCTAAAATGAAAAAAAGAATGAAAGCCGGAGTCTTGCGCCTTAGTACACACATATTCCTTAATTTTAAGACCTAAAAATTGCTTTGTGATCGGACTATAAGGACCGAAGATAATTAAGGAGCCATCAAGTATATATCTAGTCTGTCTGTTCCCCTAATAGAAGAAAAATCTAAAGCTAAAGTCTTGCGCCCAAGTACACACACAGCCTGTAAGGCCGTTTTAAAGCCCTGAAAGTATCCTTGTGATCGGACTATGAAGTCCGAAATTAATTAGAATGGCAATTCCTTGCAAAGTCTGGGGCACAGCTGTTGGGTTCAGGGTAATTTCTCTCAAATAGACCACAATTACTTGATTGCGGCTCCTATCGTAGATTTGAGGTACAGAGTACCTCCACCAGTCTGGTGTCCATGTTGATTTTGATGTTGACTAGTTTTTTTTTTTTGCTTTTTTGTTGATAGCTTTTATTTCTTTGCCGAGTGCAGAGTGTAAACAAAATCAAAAATGCCAGCCATGTCCTTTGGCGCTGTTGACGTTATTTTCATATTTTTTGTTGTTCGGGCGCGGCGCACTTTTCGGCCGGGCTGTGTTCATTTCAATTGAAGACAGACTGTGGCAAAAATGAGCCAAAAATCATGCACAAATATTCAAGAAACATGAACATGTGAAGAGTTCACATAACTTGGGTCTGCAGGCAGTTTGTTTATAAAATATCCTTTGGATTGCAACTCTTTTGGCTGTATCCATGGGTTAGAGGAACGGGCGGCAGAAAGATTCCCTCATATAGTATATAATATAATCTTAAATAAGCGCAACGAGCTGAGTTCAACGAAAACTAGACGAGCTAGAGACTTCCAAGTTTCTTTCGTATTTAGACTCTCGTCTGGTAAATACAGACTAAAAGTATTAAGAATGCCCAAAATTAAAAAAAGAAAACTCCGTTTAAGTGTTAAAGTCTTAAATTTTAGTATATATATAAATATATATATGCCACACTTGCGCCTCGAAAATGTCATGAATCCGATGTTAATCAAGAATGTTTTTTTTTTTTAAATTGGTTAGTTCCAGCTATTGCTTGTCTTAGATGCTCAGACTCTTGCCCAGAGTCTTCTTGAGACAATATTTCATGAAGATCGGACTACAGAAACCGATGTTATTTAAGAATGCAAGAGAAATCACGTGTCTCTGTGTATTTCTGTGTCCGCAGCTCGGACATCTCCAAGCCGGACAGTTCCCACTCTTGCTTGCCTGAGATGCTCCAGTTCTTGCCCAGCGTCTGCTTCAGACAATAATTCATGAAGATCGGATTACAGAATCCGATGTTATTCAAGAATCCAAG